ACATCAATCAGCAAGGGCTGACACATTTTTTTTTTAACTTGTCAACTCTGGAGAGGTCTTGCTGTGACTGGCTGTCAGACAGTGGGTGTGAGTCTGAGGTTTGTTCTAATGTCTATGAGAAAGCCTCCCACAGCACGTCTGTGGCTGTAGCTGGGGAAAACACTAGGCTGCTTCAGTGAGCCAGGATGAGGACCTTGGGCCATTTCTGTCTTTGACGGTGTTCATGCTTGGTTTGTGTTATGCATTACATTGTTTTGTCTGGTATCCATATTTGGTGGAATTTCTGATGTTTGGTTTTTGTTTTGATTTTTATTTTTCAAGACAGGGTTTGCCTGTATCCTTGACTTTTCTGGAACTCATTCTGTTGACCAGGCTGGCCTGGAACTCACAGTGATCTACCTGACTCCACCTACTGAGTGCTGGGATTAAAGGCATGCATCACTACGAAATGTTTGATTTTAATATATTTCTTATTGTATTTATTTATTTTTAATGGGTGCTGGGAATTGAACCTGGGTCCTCTGGAAGAGCAGTCAGTGCCCTTAACTGCTGTGCCATCTCTCCAGCCCCTTCTTGTTTTAAAAAAATGCATGTATATAATGTATTTTGATTATACTCAAGCTCCACTCTGCCCAAAACTCCTCAGATTCACTCCCAGGACCCCACTCCATGCACTTTTAACATAACCAATTCTAAATTTGGTGGAGAAGGCAAGTGAACCTCTTATTACATATTATTAATAAGCATGCTGTGAAAAATAGCTTATGAACTACAGAGGCAGCCTCTACTGATATGGAAGTTTCTAAACTATTTACCCCCAAATTTTCCATTTTCAGATTATTTGTTTATTATTGAGAATTGCTGGAGTCTATGCACAACCCTGCCTTCCCAGGACTCCCAAGGCTGTAAGCTCCCAGGCTGTAGCTCTGGGTTTCCAGTTTTCTATTGCTATTTTTGTTCCTAATTCTCCAATCCGTCACTTTCTTCTTGTTCTGTCTGAGTATTTCCTTGGTTCTAATACTTAATGCATTTATCTAATGCTTAATGTTATTTATCTTCAATTTGTCTCTCCTCCTTTTATTTGTTTTGAATGGTTTCAGTGTCTTGTGGGCACAGCAGAGGTGGAGTGTGGATGTGGATGAGCAAACAGAAATACATCTTAGAATGGCATTGGGTCTGAAGCAAAACCCATGTCTAAAATGATGCATTGTAACTATAACTCTTTCTGCCAGCCGCCTGAGTTCCACTGCCATGTTAGGGCCCCCAAATAACACACAGAGATTAATATTAGTTACAATGCTGCTGGCCAATGACTAGGATTTCTTATTTGCTAGCTCTGCCTTAAGTATTAACCATAACCATTAATCTGTATATTTTATAAAGACTTATCAAGGATGTCAGCTGCATGTGCCCTCTCTTCCCGGGATCACATGGAGACTCCTCTTTACTACATTTCCCAGAATCCTCCTTGACTCCTAGCCCCACCTATCTCGCTTCCCTATTGGCCAACAGTGCTTTATTTATCAACCAATAAGACAAACATATACACAGAAGGACTTCCCCCATCAATGCATCTTTGATATTACATGTGACAGGAAGGACTCTGTCATATTTCTTCAAATACTAACACACATAGCCAGTTACTGTTTTCATTTCTGTATTTCCAAACTTTGGGTGCATTTATTTTCCATGGAATGAAAATGTTGACCTTCCAAGTAGTAGAAAATTGCCCTTTGCCCTTTCACTCTATCCTCTAGCTGATTTTCTTTTGTGGTCCCCAGGGGAAAAGCGGATTGTTGGGTCTTGCCTTGGTATCTTAAACCCTTAATCAACTACCTGAAAAAAATCAGGTACTTGTGGATAGCATTCTTAAAGGTGAGGCCCAGAGGAAGATATTGTAACCCTTTATCACCTGATCATGCCTTAGAAGCCTCAGTAAACAGCATGAACCCACAGGTTCTCATCACAGAAGGCACTGTGTTTATGGTGTGTTACTTGCACATGCATAATAAATAAACTTTGCACTCTTAAAAAAATCACCAAACCAAGACAACAACAGAAAAGAGTACAATCAGGATATATGATATAACATTATTTTAAATTAAAAAAAACTTGCACTAATATTGTTCCTTCTGCAAAAAAGTTAAGGAACCTCGATGGAGTTTTCAGTTTTGAATGAAGAGACACAAAAAAAGGTAAGAACTTTGAGAAACTCTCATGCTTAAATCTAGCTGATCTCCCAGGTTATTGGGCTGTGAACTCGCTGGGCTAAGGTGTTTAGGAGCCTGCCATTTCTCTCCTAGAAGAGTCAGAGCAGATGGACTTCCCAGAGCAAACAAAGAGTCCAACATGACAATGCTGGAATCAGGAATCAGCAAGCTAAGTCAGGGCTCCCAACCAAAATGGCCCAACACTGATGGACTGCATGGAGAGGCTGGGAAGACATGGTTCTTCCTGAGGTTAAGGATTCCAAATTTCCTAGTTAAAAATGTATATGGGCATAAAATCCTACTCCCTAAGTGTCTGTGTTTAATACAGAAATGTTTCCTATGATCCAAATCCTTCAGTAAAACCGGCCCAGAAGCCCTATCATGGTGTAACTGATAGGAGTGACTATTTTATATCCATCTAAAGGGCACTTGCGTACCTGCATATATATGGCATACATTTACTCTCTCTCTCTCTCTCTCTCTCTCTCTCTCTCTTCCGCCTTCTCCTTCTCCTTCGCTCTCTCCTTCTCCAAAACAAACCTCCATAGGCCAAAAAGTGGGCAAACTTACTTAAAATCTCTAAGAATGAATCAGGCTTGGTGACACCAGCCTATAATCCCAGCACTTGGGAGGCAGAGGCAAGCAGGTTTCTGTGAGAAACCAAATCTTGAAAAACAAAACAAACAAACAGAGCTTCTTTTAAAAAATCCAATGTTCTTCCTTATTTGCCCAGCCTCTTTTCAGATGCAATGGCTGAAAGTTCCACTAGGTGGCACTGCTATAGACAAAAAGATGTAGGACCCATTTGTAAGAACATGAACAGATTTCTATTTAATGTTAGTTTAATTAGTAATGATGTTTAAGAATGACTTTTAAAATTACACAGAGTATTGATACTATGAGGTCTTAAAATTGTGTGTGTGTGTGTGTGTGTGTGTGTGTGTGTGTGTGTGTGTGTGTGTGTGTGTGTGTTGGAGGGAGTTGTATATAGCAGAGGACAGTTTTAGGGGTATTGGTTCTCTCTCCTTCCACTGTAGTGTATTCCGGGGATCCATCTCAGATTTTCAGGCACTATGGTACCTTTATCCCCTGAGCCATCATATTGCCCTATTGGGAGCTTATTTATTTTATTTTACATATTGAGGTAGAAATGAAATGAGGTGTTTCAGATACATTGTTGAATACTATGAAGAAACAAGTTTGACCTGGAATATAGCTTTATTATTGTTGAAACTGGGTGGTGGGTGCCAGGGAGACACATCAGAGTGCTTCTTACTCCTATGTAAGTTTGCCATCTTCCAAAATAAAAGGGCCACCCATTATAAGTGTTTAGCACTTACGATAATGTTGCTACTTGGATGTTGCTAATGTTCACTCTGTAGCAGCAACAGTGATAGTAACCCTTGGAATGGCTCAAGATTGGAAATAGATTGCAGCCTCCTGAGAGGTCGGTTGAGTTTAAAAGTCAGAGTTCCCCTGTCTTGCTTTTCTTGGCAAGACTTGGCTTAACATTTTAAGCTCCAGATAAAGCCTCTAATCTTCTCCTAGAACAGAAGTTCTCAACATGTGTATAGTGACCCCTTTGGGTCAAACATCTTTTTCACAGGGATAGCATATCAGATATCTTACAAATCAGGTGTCTCCATTACAGTTCATAACAGTAGCAAAATTACAGTCATCACAGCATGAGGGACTGTATTAAAGGGTCACAGTATTAGGAAGGTTGAGAACCACTGGCCTAGAAAATCAATACCATCCCAAGGTTAGTTTGAAAATATAAGTAGTGTGCTGGTATTTCCTCTGTAAGATGCTTATATTTTTCTATTCTTTCTGGTTTACCTGCAGAAAAAGAGAAGATGGAGTGTTGAAAACAGCCCTTCCAGATTCCTGCAACTCTCTGAGAGCCTGTTGTACTAGGAGGCAGGGTTCCTGCATAGCAAGGTAGAGTCGGTTAGTGAGGTTTCACTACTCTTCTTCCATTTGTGTATTGTTGGAATGTATTCTTGGCAGTCAGAAGTACAAAGTACCAGCCCCAGCCATGTCAGTCTCCATCTATGATGAGAATAAGATTGGTGGGGCTGGAGAGATGGCTCAGTGGTTAAGAGCACTGCCTGTTCTTCCAAAGGCCCTGAGTCCAATTCCCAGCAACCACATGGTGGCTTACAACCGTCTGTAGTGAAATCTGATGCCCTCTTCTGGCCTGCAGACATACATTTAGGCAGAACACTGTGTACCTAATAAACAAATAAATCTTTTTTAAAAAAGAATAAGATTGGTTTTAACTCCTACCTGCCTATAGACTTCCTCACTAATTTTCTTAACCACTGAGCCATTCCCCCTTTTAAAAATTATATCATGTACATTGGTGTTTTTGTCTGCATGCATATCTGTATGGGGGTGTTGGGTGCCCTGGAACTAGAGTTACAGTTGTGAGCTGTCATGTGGGTGCTGGGTATTGAACCTGGGTCCTCTGGAAGAACAGCCAGTACTCTTAAGCTCACTAACTTTCTTATACTCTGTACCCTTTAACAGAGTTGATGAGGTTTTCATAACACTGAGAGAGGATTTCCATGGACCCCTCCCTCCTCTGCTGATTTCCCAGTTTCTCTCCAGCCTGCCCTCTTTGATTGGAGCTGATGCGTTGCCTTTCTGTCTTTCAGGTCTAATGCACCCTCAGGGGCATGTTTACATAGTCCTTTCCAAGTAGAAGCTGTGCGATGCTTGGAGCTTGAGTTTGCTCAAGCAAACCAAACTCTTCTAACGTGAGCTCTGCTAGTTCTCAGGACTGGGATGGAAGAGTCAGCACCAGCGGAAAGCCAGGGCCAGCCAGCAAGCCCCAACCATGGCTCACTGAGGAGGGCAGTGGCTGCTGCCCTGGCCCTGGATGGGGAGTCCACAATGGGCCGCAGGAAGAAGAAGAGGAAAGAGTCTCGCCCAGAGTCCATCATCATCTACCGGTCAGATAATGAGAAGATGGATGAGGAGCCTGAAGAATCAGAAGGTGGAGATCGGCCTAAAGAGGAGGAGGGGGAGGATTTCCTCGACTACCCCATAGATGATGGTGAGTTTGTCTGGAGCCCCTTGTTCAAAGTCCCCTCCAGGAGACGGGCACCCGTTCACTGGCCTTTCACTTTCAGGTGGTGAATTTTTTGAGGTGTTGCAGTCTTCATTAATTAAACAGACACTGGTACTTAGAGCCTGTAACACTCTATTCTAAGTGAGATGATATCTCCACCCTCTCACAACTGCTAGTGTAAGAAGCTGATTATAGACTAATCGCTTAACATATATAAGATAAAGAGCAACAGTTGTTACCTTTTATAATAATTATGAATATGCAGCCAGGTGTGGTTGCTTACACCTATAATTGGATGCCATCCTGGGCTATACAGTGAGACCATGTTTCAAAAAATAAAACAAAAATTAAACCACCACCACCACCACCACCAACAAATCAAGAGACTATGTGTTAGTTAGGGTTTCTACTGCTGCAACAAAAACCGTAACCAAAAGCAAGTTGGGGAGAGGGAGGGTTTATTTGGCTTATACTTCCACAGCACTGTTCATCATCAAAGGAAGTCAGGACAATAACTAAAACAGGGCAGGAACCTGGAGGCAGGAGCTGATGCAGAGGCCATAGAGGGGTCCTGTTTACTAGCTCACTCCCCATGGCTTGCTCAACCTACTTTGTTTCTTTCTTTCTTTTTTGTTTTTCTGAGACGGGGTTTCTCTGTGGCTTTTGGAGGTTGTCCTGGAACTAGCTCTTGTAGACCAGGCTGGTCTCTAACTACCTCTGCCTCCCAAGTGCTGGGATTAAAGGTGTGTACCACCACCACCTGGCTCAACCTGCTTTCTTATAGAACCCAGGACCACCAGCCTAGGGATAGAACTACCCACAATGGGCTGGGCACTCCCCCGTCAATCATTAAGAAAATACTTAGCTGGACAGTAGTGGTGCACTCTGTGAGTTTGAGGCCAGTCTGTTTTACAGATCAAGTTCCAGGACAGTCAGGGCTACACAGAGAAACCATGTTTAAAAAAAAAAAAGAAACAAAACAAAACAAAACAAACAAACAAAAACCCCCAAACAAAACAACAGCAAAACAAACAAACAAACAAAAAGAGAAAATACCTTACAGTCAGATTTTATGGAGGCTTTTTGTCAATTGAAGTTCCCTCCTTTCAGATAACTCTAATTTGTGTGCCAAGTTGACATAAGATTAGCCAGCACAGACTATAAATTATGGTATCAGTGAGATGTAATTCCTTCACATTATCAAAATTTGTGTGAAATATGATAGCAACATTGTGTGGAACTAGATATACTCCTCATTAAAGTCTTCAACTACACTGTAGGAACTGGTCAAATATTTATTAAGATTCAAAGTGTGCACATTGTATGTCACAGAAATTCTTAGTATTTCCACCATGAAATTTATGTCTGTGCTCTGCCTGTATAAGAATATATGTTGCCATCAGATAGCCTGTGGGTTTTCTTTGTTAAGAATTACTATGCAGCAATAAACAGATCTATTTTTGTAGAAGGATAGATGTTAAGACTCCCAAACTCAGTGTGAACAGCACAAGAAGTGTCCCTGCTCTCGTGGAGCTGACCTATCCTGGGAAGACAGTCAGTGAAAAGATAACCAGGTGGAACATTAGTTCCAAAGATAGCAAAACCACAATAGAGGGGAGATGGTAACTGATGGAGGGATTTTGTGTCACAGGAGACCTCTCTAAAGAAGTGGCATTTGGGCCTGGAGAGACGGCTCAGAGGTTAAGAGCACTGGCTGCTCTTCCAGAGATCCTGAGTTCAATTCCCATGGTGGCTCACAACCATCTGTAATGAGATCTGGTGCCCTCTTCTGGCCTGTAGGCATACATGCAGGCACAACAGGGTATATATAATAAGTAAATAAATCTTAGGAAAGAAGTGACATGAAGGAGCCAGGTGAGAAAGATGTGGGGCAGAGTTTTGGTTTCTGTTGTTGTTTATTTTTGGAAAATAGTAATGGTCTTGAGGTGAGAGCAACAGTAGCCTATTGATAGGAAGGGGTGTTAGAGTGTGGAGAGGGCCAGGCGGAGAATGGTGAAAGATCAGTGAGGGAAGCCAGGCTGGATCCTGGACGGCTTGCAAGGGCATGTAGAGGGCTGGGAACTGTGGAAGTCAAGGGGGACTTTTAAGCAAGGCAGACATTATGCACAAGAGAATGCCCCATCTCAGAGAAACACAGGACTAGCCATGAGAAGGGAGGGAGTGGACTATACCCTCAGTGTGTATACATATATACTCACATTTTATGCACAGGTTAGTACTTATAAATAATGCCTTCATAGCACTTGTTAACCAGAAACAGGATCATGATAAGGTTGTGACTGGTGAGACTGTGTCAAGGCTGCAGTTCCAAAAAATGGAGAGACCTTAGGAAGAACAAGTTCATCTTGCTCAGAGTTTTGTCAGGGCCCCACACATGGAGTCATCGGTCTCTGTAGGAGTAGTAATAGCAGAGATTGCCCTCCAAGGGAGACTCGTTTTAAGTCTGCTGTTGACTCACTGGTTCTATTGTTTCCACCTACTCAGATCTGGCCTCAGGATGGCACTGAGATGAAATGTGGAGTCCTCAGTTCTTGACTCTCACCTCCTTTGTGCACTGCAGGTATGTGGAACATGCCTTTGGACAGCCGCTATGTCACACTAACGGGGACCATCACACGAGGGAAGAAAAAGGGTCAGATGGTGGACATCCATGTCACTTTGACAGAGAAGGAGCTGCAAGAACTGACCAAACCCAAGGAGCTGTCAAGGGAAGCAGCCCCTGAGGGAAGAAGGGTCTGCCAGGTGGGGGCAGACCAGGGCCCACACGTGGTCCTCTGGACACTGGTCTGCCTACCTGTGGTCTTTGTCCTTTCTTTTGTCGTGTCTTTCTACTACGGCACTATCACCTGGTACAATATCTTCCTTGTGTACAATGAGGAGAGGACCTTCTGGCATAAGATTTCCTACTGTCCCTGCCTCATTCTCCTCTATCCAGTGCTCATCATGGCCATGGCCTCTTCCCTGGGGCTCTATGCCGCTGTGGTCCAGCTCTCATGGTCCTGGGGAGCATGGTGGCGAGCAGCCTGTGACATGGAAAAAGGCTTTTGTGGCTGGCTTTGCAGCAAGCTGGGTCTGGAGGACTGTTCTCCCTACAGCATTGTGGAGCTGCTGGAGTCTGACAATATCTCAGGCAATCTCTCCAACAAGGACCCCATCCAGGGAGTAGAAACCTCCTCTGTCTAAACCACCAGAGACTTCTTTCCCTAGTAGTTGACAGTCATTCTACAGTTCTAGCAGGTTCTTTCCTTAAACTATCCAGTCCCCTCTACAGTCCTAGCTCACACTGGTCTGCCTACATCTTCATTATTCCAAGAGGGCATGAAACAGAAAAGTAACTTGTGCCAAAGTAGTTTGTCTGATATACAAGTACGTCTAGACTCTTTGCCCTGAAATGATCATTTATCTGGGATATGAAGATCCACTGGAAATTCCTCCAGGGGCCTGACGGTGTTATTGGTGCCTGCAATCCAGGGTAGTGTGTGCAGAAAGAATAAAGAGACTCAGGGGTAACCAAATCCACCAAGAAATAGCTGGAGATGGAGTGGCACATTTAGGTAGCTAGGCTACTACGATGAAGACTGTGTGCACCGTGTAGGTTTAGATAGAACTGCATATAATTAAAGCCCCAAACGTCAGTGAACTAAACAAGAGAGAAATCTACTTCCATCTGATATAGATGTCTGGAGGTGGACCATCCCAAGACTCTGTGATGTCATCTGGAGTTCACTGGATGGTGGAATGTGACCCTCAGTGCTCTTATCTTCAGTTTCCAAATGCTGACTATGTCTCTAGCTGTCATAGCAGTGTTTGTGGAAAATACAGAAGAAGCAAAGGAGGGCACAAAGCCCCTGTCAATATGTATTATATCTCATTGACCACACTATAGGCACATGACCCCACAATCAAAAGATACTGGGAAATATTCCTAGATGATATTGGGGTTATGTGAATTTGTGGAAAGGGAGAATAGCTATTTGGCAGGTGGGCAAGAATTCACATCTTATGATAGGAATTTAGATAATTCAGAATTAACTACTAATACAGTTTTATTTATTTGTTTATTCATTTAACTATTTTGGCCCTAGTCTTACAAGGAGAATTTATACATAGATATGAGCTACATACACTATGCATATGCCTTAGATAGTAGCATCTTGTGTACTTGACAACTTTTGTCATGTGCTTTCAGGTTTCTTTGGAAAACCCATTAGATAGGAGCATACGGTCATATAACCACAGTATAATTTTTCCTGGAAAGAAAGGGGGTATAGATTAATACCACAGTATTTAAAGACAGAGAAGAGGGAGAGGAAAGAAGAGAGAGAGAGAGAGAAAGAGAGAGAGAGAGAGAGAGAGAGAGAGAGAGAGAGAGAGAGAGAGAGAAAATATGAGCGAATGAGAGAGAATGAGAATATCTTCCAAACACTAACTCAGCAGGGATCAGTAGCTCAAAACACAAACCACATTTAGCTTGTGCTTTGGTCAAACCCAGGAGCCTTATTCACTCAGACCTTTCTAGCATGAAGCTCCTCTGACAGGAGTAATGTCACCAACTAATCCAGATGAAAAGATCCTGGATGGAAGAAATAACTTCATTTTTAAGTGTCCTGGTTTCAAAATGTCAAGTCCTAAGAGGTCAGCTAGTTTTGGAGTTGGGGTTCTTACAAAGAGGGATGATGATTAAAATTTTTCTTTGTGTCCCAGAAACAAATGCTTCCAGGAACCAGCATGAACTGAAATAGAGGGGTGGGTCAAGCTCCCCAAATACCAAACAGTGACATTCATTTAATGTATGGTGCTGAACTCCACTTTCAGAGAATTAAGAAAACAATCCTGTTAATAGAAAAAAATGTGTCCAGTATTTTTGAGAATAGCTGTGGTGCTTCCTTGTGCATTTCCAGAGATATGAATAATTTAAATGAAAATAAAAATAATAGAATCTGATTACTATTCGTCTACCTTGTTTTTGAGGTTTCCCCTAAATAGCTTTGAATGCTATAGTGTTTACAGAAAGGTGGGCCGATTGGCAGTCCTGTGTGTGTGAGATGATCTCAGTAAGGGATCTATGTTCTGGCTTTCTGTGTACCACAGAATTATGGGAATTCTATTTAGATGAACTGTTTCCAAGTTGCCTTTTAACCTAACTTTTTTTTTGAAAAGATTGATTGATTGATTGATTGTTTGATTATGTATAGTGTTCTGCCTGCATGTATCCTTGCAGGCCAGAGAGGGCACCAGATCTTATTATAGTTGGTTGGAAGCCACCATATGGTTGCTGGGGATTGAACTCAGGACCTCTGGAAGAGCAGCCAGTGCTCTTGGCTCTGAGCCATCTATCCAGCCCCCCCCCACTCTTATTTTAAAATGCAGCCACATTTACTACATTTATTACATTTATGTCAGTCACATTGGTTAGGGGAACCAATGATTAAGGACAAAAATCATCATGATTAAGACAAGGGTAGAGAGGAGCACGGTGACATTGGGGTGAGGGTGAGAATCCACCCAGAGGATACCAACATGGTGGTCAACCTTGACCTAAAGACTTATAAAACTAAAATAATTTCAAAAGAGCACTAGTGCCAGCTATGGGATACACACCACAAGCCCCACAATAAGACTCGATGGTTCTCCAAGTTGGACTTCGGTGGTATCCTATACTTGGATCTGCCATGGGCTCCCTATTTGTGTGCCTTACGTCCGACACCCCAGGAAATGTCCGATCGCTGGAAGCAAAGGGCTGCTGGGTGATTTCCTTGAAAAGGAGTGGCAAACATTCGCTGCAATCGGCAGATACCTCCATTTCTAGAAAAAGACACCTTCTTAGGCTTCCTGAACTTCCTTTTCAACGTCAGCTACTCCAGGCTATCAAGAAATTCTTAGCAGAGGTTACCTTTTAGGTGTCTCCCCCCCCCCCACGCTTCCTTCTTTAAAAAAATTTATTATGTGCTTTGGTGTTTTGCCTGCATGTATGTCTGTGTGAGGGTGTCGAGTCCCCTGGAACTGGAGTCACAATTGTGAGCTGCTCTGTGGGTGCTGAGAATTCAACCCCAGTGCTTCTACCCATTGAACCATTTCTCCAGTGGGCCCCCCTCCCCCCCGTTTTAGGTGTTTACACTTCCCATTTTGTTTACTCGGAGAATTCCCACTCTTTCCTTCAGCAGTTGGTCCTAAGGCCATTGTACCTGTTTAGTCTTTAATTTCCTGTTTAGAAAAGGCCTTTAGAGGAGGTAAGTGAATCTCTGGATTCATCTTACATAGGGGAACTATAACTCCAGAGTGCTAATACAAAATGCTAGCCATAGTGATCGCTCAGTACTAGCAATTATTTATTTTTATTCTTTTTTTTTTGAAGATTTTATTTATTATGTATACAACAATCTGCTTCCATGTATACCTGCACACCAGAAGAGGGCACCAGATCTTATAACAGATGGTTGTGAGCCACCATGTGGTTGCTGGGAATTGAACTCAGGACCCCTGGAAGGGCAGTCAGTACTCCTAACCTCTGAGCCATTTCTCCAGCCCTTATTTTTAGTCTTAAAAATCACGTATGCAAGCGTGTGTATGTGGGTATGTGCATTTCAGTGCAGGTGCGTGTGGAGGCCAGAAGAGGGCGTCAGATCCCATGGGACTGGAGTTTTGAACTGGTGGGTATGGAGACCTGAACTCATCCTTTACCAATACTTTCTTAACCCGTGACTCATTTCCTCCAGCCCCTTATTTACTTGTTTTTAATTGTTGAGTGCTCTATCTGCATGTATGTCTGCAAGCCAGAAGAGGGCAATCAGATCTCACGATAGATGATTGTGAGCCACCATGTTGATGCTGGGAATTGAACTCAGGACCTCTAGAAGAGTAACCAGATAGAAGAGTAACCAGAGTTCTTAACCACTGAGCCATCTCTCCAGCTCCCTGTTTTTAACCATTAAATCTATTTATTTAATATCCATTTATTTACTGTGATGTGTGGGACACGTGGAGGTTAGAGGACAACTTCTTGTTGCTTCTTTGTCTCCACCAAGTGAGTCCTTGAAGTCGGACTAAGGGTCCTTAAGACTTGATGACAAATGGCTTCACCGGTAAAGCCACTTCCCTGGTCCAGTACTAGCGTTTTTTTGTTTTTTTTTTTAAGCAGCTCTACGAGAACAAAGCCACACCTGGGGAGGCTGTGCGCATGCTCACAGCCCAGGGGCCGGGTTTCCCCGCCCCTTGCCCGCAGAGCCGGAAGTCTAGGTCTGTGTGTCGTCCGGAACTGAGTTGAGACACTATAGATTTCCATCCGGAAAAAGTAACCAAACCGCCCGTGGACCAGCAACATGGCGTGGTCCGCTAATAAGGTACTGAGAGCTGGGCTTTGTGCCTTACCCAAGCCTGGGATCTGCTGAGGGTGGTTCGCTAGCTGGAACTGTGGGGTCGCAGCTGTGCCAGCACTGAAGGATGAATGCCCAAAGCGGAAAGCTTGGGGTTTGGAGTTCTGATTTGAGTCTTGTCCGCCCCTTCACGCCCCCGTTTTCCTCCCCTTGCCTCACCTGCTCCTCAGCCTCTCCCTAGCTGCCTCCCTTCTACTTTCTGTCCACTCCTCCTGGTAACGCAGGCGCCCCTTACCGCTTCTGAACCTGGGCTCTTGAAAACTCTATGTAAGAATTTATATAAGTCATCCAGGATCACCCCCTACGTGACAGGCCTGTTAAACTTCAGATAGGAATTCTGTGAATAAAATAACTGAAAATATAGTCTCATATTATCACCTTCATAATAATATAGTATCTCGAATTTATTGGCAGCTTACTGTGTGAAGCACAGAACTAAGCCTTTTATTCCTATTTCATTAAGTCTTCACACCAGCCACTGAGATGAACATTAATTATTGTTCTTAGCTTGTAAGTACTAGAACCAAGGCACGAAGAACTGAAGTGATTAGAACATGGTCACCCTTTCCACAGGTGGTAAAATACTGATGTGAGCCCAAACCATTTTTCAGAGCCCTGGGGGAAAAATCCAGTGCATTGCAAAGTACCTATGACCCCCGGCTTCCTAGATTAATAAAGGAAATTACAGTGAGCTTTAAACGATATTTTGGTCACCAGAGAGAGATGTAATTGCGATTCATTCATTCATTCATTCATTCATCTACTCACTCATTCATTTAAATCAGGCAAACAAGATAGGGGTTTGAATAACGGATCTCTGTCTTCCTCCACCCCCAATTGGGAAGTTTTGATTAAATTATGAACTCATTGTGAACTCCTAATGATGCTGCTCACCTCTTTTGTTCTTCTTTCGGTTCCTGAAAACTTTGTAGCTCTTGTGAAGGGCTTATTTGTGGCAGATGTACTTGAAATAAAAATCCTGGCTATATTGCTTCAGTGTAGAAATGAAGAGTAGCTATACTCTCCCCAGTCTCTCTTCCATGGCTTTCTTACTGCTTCCAGAAAAGAACTTAAAGTATCACAGACCATTCTTCCAGTATTTTCATACTGTGAAACTGGTGCCCTTTTCTGAATCTCTAATTCTTGACAAAAGACTTCAGTTAGTGTTTGCTAGCTTGTTTTTGTGATTCATAATTTTTTTTTTTTTTTTTTTGAGACAAGGTTTCTCTGTGGCTTTGGAGGCTGTCCTGGAACTAGCTCTTGTAGACCAGGCTGGTCTCAAACTCACAGAGATCCACCTGCCTCTGCCTCCTGAGTGCTGGAACTAAAGGCGTGTGCCACCACCGCCCTGCCTGATTCTTACTTTTTTTTAAAAAAGATTTTTATGCTGAGGGAATCCCTGTGGGATGTGAATTGAATTCCTCTTAAATGTACTCTGTAGTTTATTACTGTTCATCCCCAAAATAAATTGTCATCGTTTCTGAAATCTGTTGACATTGCTGTGTCATATGTTCCATTCTTTATGAACTAAGGAAAAAAAGAGTATTTCCTTTGTGTGTTGTAAAGTCAAATGTAGGGGTCATCTCCCTAATATAGGAGCTCATCCAGGCTTTTCAGACACCTCTCGAGACAGATATCTCTGACTCAGAGGGTGCCTTATTTATTGGTCACTTTTTTTTTAAAAAATATTTTATTTATTTATTATGTATGTAGTCTTCTGCCTGCATGCAGGCAGAGGGCATCAGATTCAAGGTGGTTGTGAGCCACCATGTGGTTGCTGGGAATTGAACTCAGGACCTCTGGAAGAACTGTGAGTGCTCTTAACCTCTGAGCCATCTCTCCAGCCCTATTGGTCACTTTTAAATCTTTCTCTCATAAGAGATGATGCCCAGCATTGCTCACAGTTTGTCTGATCAGCAGAAAGCCCAGGTGAGACTGGTAGGATCAAGACCTCATGTGGTCCAATAGTTTTCTACCTGACTGAATTAACAGTGAGGTTAAGTGACATTCCCAAGAGCTAATTAATTAGTGGAGATGGGACTACAACCCAGGTCTCTGGATTGCTAATCTAGTATTTTGTTTTTCACCAAAAGACCCTTCATTTTTCTTTCTTAAATACATTATAGTGTTGATACAACTTAACATGTTTGTGAGGATAGAGTGTTGAAGTTGTATCACCTTGTTGATTCAATCTATAATTTACTTTAAAATCACAAGTTATTAGCGTAGATCTTTTGAAATTTATATTTGAGTAAATTTTGTATGCAAAATACATAGAGCTTCACATATGTCCACTTTGCATTTGGTTTATTTCAATTCCTTAGTCCCTGAGATAGTATCAGTAATCAACTTGACAAACTGTAGAATCACAGGGGAGATGGGCCTTTGGGCGTACCTGCAGGCAGATTGTCTTGCTTATGGTAATTGACATAGAAAGACCCATAACTATGAGTACGACCTTTCCCTGGTCTCTGGATGGAAAAAGCAAACCAAGCACTAGTTTGTGTGGATTCATTGTTCTCTTCTGACTGGATGAAATGTGACCAGCTGCTTTGAGTGCCTGAAGCCTTGACTCTGTCACTATGATGAACTGTATCCTGGAACTATGAGCCAAAATAAAGGGTTTCTTCCTTATTTGTCAGGATGTTTTATCATAGCAATAAGAAAGGAAACTCTAGAGAGTCCCCAATATATGATTGTTATTTAATGGCCTGGTGTCGTTGCTTATATCTGTAACTTCATTACTCACTTGACTGATTCCTCCACCTAGCTGGCTTTTAGGGACATTAGGCCCCTTCACAGGCTCTCCAGAGTGGAATGTTACATGCCTTACACACATTAAGTCTATAACACATGCCCCCTTCTTTTATCATTCCTCTTCCACATACCAGGATGGGGACCCATTTCAGAATCTTTGCTAATAACTTCTTTTTGTTTCTTGGGTACCTTTTGGGACTTGTTTCTAGGCAGCTGTTGTGCTGTGTATGGATGTGGGCGTTGCTATGGGTAACTCTTTTCCTGGCGAAGAATCCTCGTTTGAACAAGCAAAGAAAGTGATGACTATGTTTGTCCAACGACAGGTAAGTTTCAGATTAACTCAGCAAGTTCAAGCCAGACTGGGCTATAGGAAAAGACCCTGCCTTAAAAACAGCTGTCCTAGTTTAATTTCTGTTGCTGGCATAAAGAAAAACAAATCAACAAAAACCTACGACTTAGAGAAAGGGTTCATTTCAGTTCACTGGTCCAGGCTAGAGCCCATGGATCTGAGGAAGTGATGGAGACAGGAACTGGAAACTGCTAGTCACATCTAGCATAAAGTCAAGAGCAGAAAGAGAATGAAAGGTGCATGCTTATTTGTGCTGAAATGAAAAGCATGACTTATAGATAATGAAATACCTGCTTAGGAGCTGGAGAGATGGCTCAGAGGTTAAGAGCACTTGCTGCTCTTCCAGAGGACCTGGGATCCATTCCCAGCACCCACATGGTGGCTCACAACTGTCTGTAACTCCAGTTCTGGGTGAGCCATCCTCCGGAGTACTAGGCACAAACATGAAAAGACATACACACAGGTAAAAACACCCATCTATATAATAATAAAATGGTTTTTAAAAACTAGAAAAAGTCTGTTTACAGCCTAATTGTTGTTGCTAGTAAATCCCATGTTCATTTAGTCTAATATTGGGTGGCCCTGGGGACCTCCCTAATGAGGTATGACCTTCCTGCTCCCTGAAGTTTAGGTGTCCTCTTCCATCCAGGTGGCTCAAATACAGTCTTCAACCTTTGGCTTTTCCACCCTAGGTGTTTTCTGAGAGCAAGGATGAGATTGCCTTAGTCCTCTTTGGAACAGACAACACTAACAACGCCCTTGCTAGTGAGGACCAGTATCAGAACATCACAGTGCACAGACACCTGATGCTACCAGATTTTGATTTGCTGGAAGACATCGAAAGCAAAATCCAACTAGGCTCTCGACAAGCTGACAGTATCCTTTTTGTGCCCAAGAAGACAAGAAATTTTCCTTTGTCTGGAATATCACAATCCAGTTTGGTGAGGCTTTCCCAGAGTCTCTGATCTGAATATCCGGGCATATTTTCCTCTGAGGAAAGGGGGGTTTGTAATTGATATAGAATCAGTGCTCCAGTTCCAGGTCTTCTAGACTCTTGCTCTTTCTGTGCCTTGTGATATTGAGAGTTTGGGAAGTATAGGGGCTGGCTTACAGTTGAGTGGTTTAGTCCATTATCATCAAGGTGAGAAGCTTGGCAGCACACAAGTAGACTTGGTGCTGAAGTAGCTAAGAGTTCTACATCCCAATCCACAGGCAGGAAGCAAGAACGGTATTGGGCCTGGCTTGAGCCTTGGAAACCCCAAAGCCCACCCCTACAGACACACTTCCTTCAACAAAGCCACACCTACTTGAACAAGGCTACACCTCCCAATCCTTTCAAATAATGCCCCACCCTATGAACCTCTGGGGTCCATTTTCTTTTCTTTTTTATTTTTTTAAAATATTTTATTTATTTATTATGTATACAACATTCTGCTTCCATGTATATCAGCACACTAGAAGAGGGCACCAGATCTCATAACGGATGGTTTTGAGCCACCATGTGGTTGCTGGGAATTGAACTCAAGACTTCTGGAAGAACAGTCAGTGCTCTCAACCTCTGAGCCATCTCTCCAGCCCTCTGGGGTCCATTTTCATTCAAACCACCACAGAGATGAGAAATACATATTCAGAAGAGTATAGCGCTAACTTTCTCTGTTCTTTTGGATGAAGGATGTTTATACCAAACAATCAGGTTGATATTCGAGCTGAGATTTCTCATTTCTTCCATAGAGGCCTGTTTTAGTTTTCTTCTCTGTTGGTGTGGTAAGACACTGACCATAATCAACTTGCAGAGGTAAGGGTTTATTTTAGCCAATGCAAGAGCCCAAGCAGGATCTTGAAGCACAAACCAACAGAGGAATGCTGCTTACTGGCTTTCTCCCCAGGCTTGTATTCAGCTACCTTGCTTATGCATCCCAGGCCCACCTGCTCAGAAATGGTGCCACCCACGGTGGTCTGGGCTCTCCTATGTCACTTGGTAATTAGAGAATGTCCCACAGTCATGTCAAAAATACTGATCTGATGGAGACAGTTCTTCAGTTGAGGTTCAACCTTCCAGATGTGTCAAGTTGACAGTCAAGATTAGCCATGAAAATGAAACCCTTTCTCAACCCTCCCCACTACACACACAAGATTGGGGTTCTAATTTTAAGTGTATTCTTACAATTTTTTTCTAAACAATTAGTAGTACCACTCTTGACCACTGGGAGGTGCTGCTGTGTTTGGAGTAACTTGGAAATGATGTGCTATGGCTTGCATCATATTTAAGAATGGACTGTGATTACTAAATAGGGGCTCTAGGTATTGTTAAATGACATCTTAAGGTTTTTGTTGAACGAATATGCATTAACTGTCTTATGTGTATTTTTCAATAATTTGTGAGAATGTATATGTGGATAGAAAGCATTTATGAAATAAAATCTGGAAGAGGCACACGGACGAGCCTTTCCAAGTCATCCACTGTCTACAGTTGTCAACAGTGTGGGCCTTGCTGGGAGAAACTGCAGTGTTCATGGGATGAAGGGATTGTTGGCATTGTTTCTAGCCTTAACTAGCTGAGTCTTGGACGCCCTGATTGTGTGCATGGATTTGATTCAGCGTGAAACCATGTGAGTGTCTCACCTGAAGAAATACAGAAATGAGGCTTCCTGGGAAAAGTGTGGGCTGATGTGTTCAGTATACTCTGTGTTTTGTTGTTAACCAAGTGGCATGTCTATCTGGCAGGAAGACTATTTGACAGAACTCAATGCTAATCTTTCTAGTTTTTGAAAGTTTAAACACAGGATCACATTTGATGGGAGTTTCTCTGGGAGAAATAAATAAGCATTTGGCATCTTTCAGTTTTCTTATTTGACTTAAACTAATTACCCCCAATTTTCCAAAAGTACTAAGTGCTATGATCCATAAGTAATTGGTATACTGTGCACAGTAACTGTAGTCAGTATCCGGGCCCATTATTTGCTTAATTACTGTATCTTGAAAAGCGTATGCCCCTTGAACACAGACAGATGCATTGTCAGGAAAGCCATTTTTGTGCTGACATCCCAGGCCTCAGTTTGTATTATTTTATCTCAGTCTGAATCCTCTGCAAACTCCTGCAGCGAATCCCATGTTTAGTTCCCTGGCAAGACATCTGGAAAGTGAATGTACAAGGCTGCTGTCTTCACACACCTCGGAGTCCCTTATTTACATTCTGAAGCCGTGCGTGTGGGAAAGGATTGTTTTAAATCACAGTGCGAGGGACACAAGAATATTATGTGTTGTGATGCTGAGCCAAGTGTGAACTGTGTGAAGTGGATTATGTATTTAATAGGAACTCTACTGAGCATTAAGAGTGTGTGGACCTTGAGACTAATCACACTTATTAATATATCTAGATTCAGTCCTTAGTCTCTCTGTTCAGTGACCAAGTGTATTTCAGCTTCTGGAAAAACATTCAGGAGAATGCTTTCTTTAAAATCACCTTTTCAGTACTAGGCAGGCAGAGGCAGGCAGATCTCTATGAGTTTGAGGCCAGCCTGGTCTCCAGAGCTAGTTCTAGGACAGCCAGATCTACACAGAGAAATCCTGTCTAGAAAAAAAAAATTCAACAACAATGAAAATCACCTTTTTTTTTTTATTTGTGTGTATATGTATGTGTGTGTGTGTACATGTGAGTGGGTGTGTGCATGCATATGCACATATAACACATGTGTGGAGGATGGAGGTCAACTTCATGGAGTCTGTTCTTGTCTTCCACCCTGTGAGAGTTCTGGCGGTTGAACTCAGGTTGCAGGCTTGCAGGGTGATTGTCTTGACCTGCCGATCCGTCTCACTGGCCCTCAGAGAACGGTTTCTTAATGTGATCACTCTGTCTTTTAGAGGGAAGAAGTTTGAGAAGAAGCATATTGAAGTGTTCACTGACCTCAGCAGCCCATTCAGCCAAGATCAACTGGATGTTATCATTTGTAACTTGAAGAAGTCTGGCATCTCCCTGCAGTTCTTGTAAGAGCTTGGGAATAATGGATTGGAAGGAAAATCTTGTTCTCTTATGCAGTGAGCGGGACCCTGTGTAGATGGCTTACAGGAGCCTTCTCTTTTCGCTGAGTAGGAATCTGCCAGGGGATTTACTTTATGTGTATCGATTATACTTGTGTTCGTGGAACTGTTTTGAGCTGTGGTGATAAAGAGATAAAGTGAAATAGTGATACAGAGAAATTGAGCTCAATAGCAATTACAGATTTTATACTTCAAGAATCAAGGAATTAAAAAACCACCTTTCAAGGATTTTCAGATTATTTCCTGTCTGTATAGACGACATTATCAGACTGATAGTTTCTTTGTTATGTGGCTCAGAGCATGATGTCTGTAGATTGAGGGTAGACAAAACGTTATGTTAGGAACCAATTTATAGCAATAGAATGTCTATATTTAACCCTTTCTCAGGATGCAGACGTATATTAAAGTGTAATTTGCTATGAGTATTATAAAATTTGGGGAGAAAATGTGTATTTTATAGCTTATAAGGAAGAGATTCCTTCATCTCACAGTAACTTGAATTTCCCCTCTAGCATTTACTTTCTTTATTATACATCCCCACTAAAAAATTCTTGTCATTATACTAATCCTTCCTGCTGCATTTAAAACCCATTTCTTCTTGTCCTATTTTTGGCTGAAGCGAGTGATGCTATAGGATGTTGAATTATTAATCTGATCAGGGACGTTCATCTTTCAAATTGAGCACTGCACTAAGAAGCGTTCGGAGCAGGCGCCTTTGGCCTCTTAGACTGCCTGCCATGGGGAATTAAGAACCCCTCTTGCATGCATGTGTGTCCCTCCTAAGACTGCTGGGGGATATCTCTTTCCTGTGGGACTATAGAGAAGAGTTCAGAAGGGCTCACCAAACTGGTACTTGCTAAGATGACACTTCAGAGAAATTAAGTGCTTTTCAAGTGACACTTCTCATGGAACTGAGGTTTCCTTGGTACTTCAGAAGGCTGGCTTAGCTCAGTTCCCTGCCCATGGTCTCAGGATGCCTTGTGTTTGAAGCATATTGTACTCCACTTCTGCCAATGTCATTTGAAAGAGCTGCTTTTTTTTTTTTATCTTTTAGAAATGAGCACCATAGTAGAGTACCCAGAAGGAATGTGGTCTTTTCTTCCACTTGCTTGTTAGTTGGCTGCTAGCAAACCTTCCCTGGAATATGTTTTCTTCCTATACTACAGACTATCACCTGCTGTTCAGTGTATCCCATGTATTCTCAACTGCTTTAGTTTCATTTAAAACAGACTTGTTCCTTGGGCATAGTTTTTAGCTTCCTCTACTCTGGTCAAATGCAGCATAGAGAGAATTGTTACTCTAACTTTTTCTAGGGTAAATTTCTTTATGCTTGGCTTTATGCCTGGTTGATGCCACAGGAACACTCAGTGCCTAATGCAAGGTGTCTGCCGTGCACACGGGCCAGTGCTTTAGCTTGATGTGTAACGCAGCTCGTGCGGCTCTGTCATGCTAAGTAAACAGAAGGGTTACCCAGAAAGCCTTATTTTAAGTATAGCAAGCAGAATGATTGATTGCCTTGAAGGTATCCATCCACATAGGGGTGACCTACAGAGTGTTGGGTGAACCGAAAAGATTACCTAATCCAGCCCTCTTTGTTTGCAGTAATGAAGTAAGGTGGTATGCCATAGCACAAGAGCATCACCCTGTCAGTCAGGCGACTGGGTGGCTCTGGTTGAGTTATTTCCTCTCAGTTGCTTTAGTTTCTCTTCATAAAATGGAAGCAGAAATCTCCATTGACTTAGTGTGGGAGAAATCTATGGTATTGTTTAGGTGAAAGCATATCTAAAGTTCCATATATGATATTATGCTAACATGTATTTGAGTGGTTTTTCAGTTTTCATATGGATTGGTTATTTAGTATGTTTTAAACTTAATTTTTTATTTTCTATGTCTGGTGTCTTGTTTGCATGTATGTCTGTGTACCACATGTGTGCCTGGTGCCTGTGGAGACCAGAATAGAGTATTGGGACCCTGGAACTGGAGTTACATATGGTTGTAAGCTGTCAGGCGGGTGCTGGGAGCCAAAGATTGGTCCTCTGCAAGACAAACAAGTGCTCTTAACAGCTGAATCATCTCCCTAGCCTCTGGTTATTAATGTTTTGTTATTGCTGATTCCAACCTAGAGCTAGCCTCATTTCAAGCAAATAACTAGGGAGAAACATAACAGAATTGGGCTTTGCTTTTGACTGCAAATATTCTGATTTCTGTGTAAGAATTTTTTTTTCTTTTTTTCGTTTTTCTAGATGTGGTTTCTCTAGCCATCCTGGAATTTGCTTTGCAGACCAGGCTGGCCTTGAACTCAGCAATTCATCTACCTCTGCCTCCTGAGCGTTGAGATTAAAGACATGTGCCACCATGCCTAGCTTCTGTATAATATTTTAACATTTTAAATTCATTTAGCATTGAATTTTTACGTATTTTATGTTTCACAGCCTCTTATTTATTATTGTGATTTTTTGCAGTGTTGAGGTTAGATTCAGGGCTTCATGCATGCAAGGCAAACCACTCTATCACTGGCTACATCCTCAGCTTCATACTCTTATTAAATCCCCCAGGAACCCCGAGGGGTCATTGGTAGTCTCCCCAGCACTCTGGCATGCTTAGTGTATTGCCTGGAATTGCTCTAGGAAGCATTTCTTCCTGAACTTTGACCTTTGGCTTTAGTGACCTTCAGTGATCTCTTGTAGACCTCTCCTTTAGACTGTTGATTCCTGATGTTTTTAGAAGTTTGAAATCAGAGGGTTAAACACTGTGTCCTTCATAGATAGTAGAGTTGGGTAACATGAGCTTGCCTCAGTCAATTTCTATTGCTGTGATAATACATGTAAGGTAATTTATAAACAGTTAATTTCCTCTCAGAGGTCTAGAGGAAGGAAGTCTGAGCTCACAGTGCCAATGCAGCAGATTTGGTGTTTGATGGGAGATGTCTGCCCCCCAGAGGATGCTGTGACTGTCACATGACAGAAAGGACAGAAAAGGGCAAAAGGCACTGTCTCTGGTCTCTTGTAATAAAACTCAGGGTTTATTATGATGGTCCATCATGATAGATAGTCAACTGCTGACACCCCCCCCCACCTAATTCTTAAATTTCAATGTAAGAAGTTTGGGGCCACAGAGCGTAGTAGAACAGTGTGGAAGAGGCCGTTCCGAGAGACCAACCAATACGAGGAAGATGGGGTGAAATGGGGAGGGGTAGTGAAAGGCTCCCAGGACCTGGCTGTAACCATTCTACTGCCACCCAGAGAGCCCTGCCTTTTCAGTTATTTGGTTGTGTCAGCCAGTTTCTTCTTTTTACCAGATCCAAGAAGTTTCAGCTATTTAAAAATGAAATAATTCTCAGGTAGGTACATGTCAATTGACAGATAACATTATGGAGCTGTGTCAGGGTGACTGACAGGCAGGCATCTTCCTTGTATGTAGTGACAGTCACAGGGTTGGAATCTAGATTTGGAACCAAAACTCCACCTTCTTTACTGGTTATCTTTCCTGACAGCCTGCCTTTTCCAATCAGCAAGAACGATGAGACTGGGGACAGAGGAGATGGTGACTTGGGCTTGGACCACTGTGGACCCTCCTTTCCTCAAAAAGGAATTACTGAGCAGCAAAAGGAAGGCATCTGCATGGTGGAGAGGGTGATGGTGTCTTTAGAAGGTGAAGATGGGCTGGATGAGATCTACTCCTTCAGGTAGGACATGGAGACACTGGCGGCAACTTTTAATCTTCCCACATGGATTTCTTTGACCAGAGATCTTCCCGGTGCTTTTCTTTTTCGGAGCCATCCTTGACTTAGCAGTCATTCTTTATTAAGTGTTCTGAATTTTATTAAAGAAGCTGCAGGCTCACCCTTAATCTCCCTTTTATTAGTTTGTATGGTTTGTACAGAGTTCTCATTTATTTCCAGATATGTGCCACTGAAGTTTGGGAGTGTATAGATGCCTTAGAGATGGAGCAGATTCCATCTTTATTCCGAGCTTGAGCCACATTTCCTGGACCACTCTTTTCATATATTTACAAAACCCATTGTTTTTATTTTTAAGTTCTTTTGTTAGTATATGTTGAATCTTTTGTTTTCATTGTATCTGTTCCATTCAGGTATGTTATGGTTTTTGGTCATATTCACTCCCATTGCCCTCTCTTGTCCATATCCACCCACTCCTGCTGATCCCTCTCCTTTCCCCTGCATCTCCCTTCTACTTTCATGTCAATTTCTTTTTGTGACCCAATGTCGTTACCCATCGAAGTCTGCTTACAGGGGCACAAGTGAGGGATTACTTACAGACGAATGACCAACTTACCAGTGGTTATGCTACTGAAGAAACTGTCTTTATTCTTTACTCCACTAAAAAAAGAAAATCCCCCTTCCTTATGAACTGGTAACTGCCTATGGATCTTCAGGGAGGGGTGGAATGTGTGAGCCCCTCCTCACTCCACAATACAGTGTTGACAGGCCTGGTCTTGTATGATTAGAAGACAACATTCTATCCCTTCCTCTGGCTTTTACATTTTTTTATGACTCTTCTACAGTGTTCCCTGAGCCTACAGGGGATAATATAGATGTCCCATTTAGGATTGAACATTCAACAAGCACTTACTCTTAGCACTTTACCAGTTACAGTCTTACCTATAGTAATTGCCACCTACTACGAAGAGGGAGTCCCTGACCAAAGCTGACATAGCACTACTAACCCATGGCCATAAACATAGATGTTAAGAAGACAGTTTGAAGGGCCTGGGGAGATTGATCAGTGGTTAAGGGTGCTGCCTGATCTTCCAGAGGCCTGAGTTTGGTTCTCAACATCCATGTTAGGCAGCTCACCTGTAACCATCTGAACTCTAGCTCTGGAGGACCAGACGCCTCTGACCTCTGAGGGCAGGTGCACGCATGTGCATATACCCAGACACATATGCAGTCATAGACAAACAACTTTTAAAAAAGACAGCTTAAGGGGGACATTATGTCCATTTAGCAAAACAGTAGTAGCTTTTTCACTAGGGCCTATGACCTCCATAGCCATAGGCTCTTGACCAGGTTTGCAGTACTAAAATTGTGGTTTTTCTGCTGTCGAGTGGACTTTAAATTCAAGCATGAAGGGGTTGGTCACCATAATAGTCATGCTACTGTTATATAGTGGGCCTGTCAGGTTGGTATTATAGTACAGTGTCCACATAGTGGACTGAGTAACTCTGTTGATGTCTGTTCACCCCATCTGTCTGCACAGACCTTCCAGCATTGGGCAAGCTGGACAGCAGGGCAAAGGCTTCAAATTCTCTATGTTCTGCAACCACAGCACACAGTACCTTCTACAATAGTCTTCCACATAGTTCTGTTGTGCAACAAACAGTAGTGGTAATAGCCATGTTGTTTCAGGGGTTCTCAAGGGTTTCCCTTACCAATAATTAGGGAGGTACCCTGTCCCTGGGATTTTCAGTTCATAACCTGTGACTTCTGGGACAGCTCTATCACCCACACAGGAGAGAGACCTGGACTTTCCTGTTCAAACTCTTTACGGTTCTATCTTTTAACTAGCTCACAGAGCAGCAGGCTTCCTTATGGTTTAGAAAGATGTAGGAAAAAAATATTTTTACTTTGTTAGCATGAGTGTTTTTGCCTGGATGTATGTATGGATCCACATGTGTGCCCATTGCCCACAGAAGTCAGAAGAGGGCATTAGACCCCTGGAACTAGAATTACAAATGATAGTGAGCTACCACGTGGGTACTGTGAATTGAACTAGGGTCTCTGCAAGAGCAGCCAGTGTTCTTAATCACTGAGGCGTCTCTTTAGCCTCCTTATAGCTTTTTCATACATCCTTAGTTTAGGTTGACTGTCCCATCTCCTAGCCACTCATCTCCACTGAAACATTTCCACCTTTCCTATTCCTCTTCCCACTTCCAGATTATGTGTTCTGTTATACACACATGCACATGTGTACACACACACACACACACACACACACACACACTCTCACACACACACACACTCACACACTCACACACACACACTCACACACACTCACACACACACACTCACACACACTCACACACACACACTCACACACACTCACACACACACACTCACACACACTCACACACACACACTCACACACACTCACACACACACACTCACACACACTCACACACACACACTCACACACACTCACACACACACACTCACACACACTCACACACACACACTCACACACACTCACACACACACACTCACACACACTCACACACACACACTCACACACACTCACACACACACACTCACACACACTCACACACACACACTCACACACACTCACACACACACACTCACACACACTCACACACACACACTCACACACACTCACACACACACACTCACACACACTCACACACACACACTCACACACACTCACACACACACACTCACACACACTCACACACACACACTCACACACACTCACACACACACACTCACACACACTCACACACACACACTCACACACACTCACACACACACACTCACACACACTCACACACACACACTCACACACACTCACACACACACACTCACACACACTCACACACACACACTCACACACACTCACACACACACACTCACACACACTCACACACACACACTCACACACACTCACACACACACACTCACACACACTCACACACACACACTCACACACACTCACACACACACACTCACACACACTCACACACACACACTCACACACACTCACACACACACACTCACACACACTCACACACACACACTCACACACACTCACACACACACACTCACACACACTCACACACACACACTCACACACACTCACACACACACACTCACACACACTCACACACACACACTCACACACACTCACACACACACACTCACACACACTCACACACACACACTCACACACACTCACACACACACACTCACACACACTCACACACACACACTCACACACACTCACACACACACACTCACACACACTCACACACACACACTCACACACACTCACACACACACACTCACACACACTCACACACACACACTCACACACACTCACACACACACACTCACACACACTCACACACACACACTCACACACACTCACACACACACACACACACACACAGACATATACACACACACAATTCAGGCCGCTTTTTTCCCCCTCTCATGGGCCCTTTCTGGTTCCCAGGCTCTGTAAACTCATTTCCTACATAAGTACACATATATAAAAATGAGAAGCCAGGATCTGTGTGTGAGAGAATATGTATTATTTATCTTTCACAGCCTGAGTTATCTCACTTAATATTATTTTTCAATTCTATCCATTTTCATGCAGATTTTATAATTTCCTTTTTCTCTAAAGCTGAATAAAATTCTGTTGTGTATGTGTGTTATGTTTTCATTATCCATTTATAAGTTGATGGACATCTCAGCTTGTTCCTTTCCATTGTGAATAAAACAGCACTAAACAGGGATGTGCAAATATCTCTATGGTAGGGTGTAGAGTGCAGAGTCCTTTGGGTGGATGCCAGGAGTGGTATAGCTGCGTAGTTCTTATTCTCACACTAATTTCCATAGTGGCTGTACCAGCAAGAACCATTTTTAATTGTGAAAAATGGTGTTATATCTGAGACTGTCAGTGCTCCTTTACATTTTGATACTAATTTTAGAGAGCATCATGGGAGAGTATAATATGGTTTTTGATTTGAGGCTTCTGTTTTTTTTTTACTTTAGGTCACTGGTTCTCAACCCTTCTGAAGCTGTGACCCTTTAATAAAGTTTCTCATGTTGTGGTGACCCCCCAACCATAAAATTATTTTGTTGCTACTTTGTAACTGTAATTCTACTATTGTTATAAATCATAATGTAAATATCTGATATGTGCCCCCTGTGAAAGGGTTGTTTGACCCCAAAGGTGTCTCGACTCACAGGTTGAGAACTGCTGCTTTAGATCAGTAAATAGTTTGACCAAGTCCTGTTACAACCAATAAAAACAAAACCCCTCTCAGAGATATATAAACAACCAAAACACCCAAAGCCCAAGCTCAAAATGTAAAGAATTCATAGCCAGTGTTGTTACGAAGGAAAAGTGTTCATCTTGAAGTTGGACAAGCAAATGATTTCTTTTTAAAGAATGAAATCCCTGAAGTACCATATAACAATTAAAAAAACCCATATAATAATAAAAGAAACTGCGTTTTTCATCTGTCCATAGGAACTGTGGGAGAGACCATCTTTGTTATCTGTCTTGTTCTTGGTTAGAGTTGGATACACACTTATTTTGAGCAGAGACTCTGGGAAGGTTTATCTACTGTTGTGTGTTTGAGGAGTCAAACTTGGCAAAGGTGGCTATATGGTAGTTTGCCAAGCAGTCTGGCTTGTGTGGACTCAGAGTCTCTGGGATAATGCTGCCTTTTTTAGGAATTAATTCCATCCATCTGTAGGTACATGAAATTCGGGAGTGGTGGAAGCAAAGTTCTCAATTGCAGTAGGTCAGCAACGGTCTACATCTGTTGTTTGATTCTGAGCCACAATTTTAAAGAATTTCTAGAGATCTGTAATTGACAAGAAATATATCATAATTTTGTAAATATAGAAACCCTTGAAATTATCAGCAAATTAGAATGTAATTTCCCAAGGGGCCACCAAAGGAATTAGTGAGTAATCTTATAAAAGGAAATATCTTGACATAGTATGTGTTCTTGTCACATTGTGTGCAGATGTGTTGTTTCTCTCTGGACTTTGGGAATATATGCCTTAAGGTAATGTTTTATGAGCCTGTGTAAGTCCACTAATTTTTAAGGTGCTCCTTCTCCCCCAGCAAGTGGATAAATTATTGACTATGCACGTGTTAGTACTTTAAAATACTTGGCTTTGGGGTCTTCTATGTAGATGGAATTTTGTCATTCAAATACAGCAACTACCCCCCCCCCCCCCCCCCCCCCCACCCTCTTGGCTGAACTCACTCTGTAGAGCAGGCTGGCCTTGAACTCACAGAGATCCATCTGCCTCTGCCTCCTGAGTGCTGGGACTAAAGGTGTGTGCACCACAACCGTCTGGCTTACAGTGACTATTCTTATTTAAGTTAATTGTGCTTAAGTGGAATTTTTTCGAATTCAGTTTCTCTGATACTGCACATATATATGGTCTTTGTCCTGGCGATTATAGAAATAAAAAACTAGAGAGTGAACTTTCAGGGAAAAGTTTTAATTGTAAGGAATAAGGGCTTGAGAAAAAGGGATAGCACTGGCTGGGGGAAATTATTTTTATATAAAAAATTAAAAAAAAAATCCTTGGTATAGAATCCATACCTCATGATGTCTTGGATGGACTAGTCATGTCTCATGAGACAGGTTAGATCTGATGCAGACATACTCACTCTTCACAAACCCAAAGTTGTCTTTGGTTACTGTGAACTTCAGAAGCAGGGGTTCAGGCCGAGCAGTTTCTGCTTCATATAACATGGTTGTGAGGACTGGAGTCTGTTGAGATCTCTCTGTCTCTAACTCTGTAGGTAATGTAAGATGTTCTCACCAACTTAGATTCTTCTTTCATCTATACCGTGAGCATCAGTCATAAGGGCTGGATTGTACATTTTGCATACATTAGACCATTAATTCCTTTGCTCTTTATCTTAGTGAATACCACAAATTCTACCTTTCCTGTAGTCTTCTGCTGTGTTTGATTAGGGGCAGATAAAACCAGACTTGAATTTCACCTTTATTTAAATGAAGCATCACTCTACATCACACTTACTTCTGGCCCTTTTTACCATTAAAAAACTGTAGTTATCCTTTAGCTCCTGGGTAGTCTTTATGTAACTCTCTCTGTTGTGTGCATGTAAAACATCATGTCTTTTATTTAGGAGAATTGGCATTAACAAATGAATTGTGAGCAGTGATGCTGTAGCTTGATGCCCTTCCTTTGATCCCTAGCCGGGGCTCTTATCCTCTCATCTTGTTTTCTGGGAGTTGGTGAGTGCCTTATATTGTGTGCAAACTCGTGGTGAACATACTTTTATCATATCCTCAATGATGTGCTTGGTTCTGAATAAACATCAAGAATCACTGGTAGAGTTGAGAGAAATGATTGATTAGAGGAGGGTAGGGCAGTTATTTTTCTCCTGTCAAGCAAGTGATTTGAGCTCTATTCTCCCCCTACCCCCAAGCCAGCTCACTGTCTCTGGCTCCTTCCCAACCACAGTTGTCATTTTCTTGCCACCCGCTGGGGTTTCTTTCTTCATAATCAACAACAGCTCACTTCTCATTCTAGTAAAATAAGTAAACCATGTAGTCCAAATTAGCATTTGAAAATTGTGTCTTTCATTATGTGTTTTCCTTTATTAAGTGAGAGTCTACGGCAGCTGTGTGTCTTTAAGAAGATTGAGAGGCGCTCCATGCCCTGGTCCTGCCAGCTGACCATCGGCCCTGATTTGTCTATAAAGATTGTAGCCTATAAATCGGTAGGTAGTAAATGCATATTTTTTTAAAAGCAGTGTTGCCAGGCGGATAAATACGCTTATGTAAGATGCTGATAATTCATGTGTGAGTTATTCAGTGTATAATTACTGCCTCTGTAGCTGTTCTCCCTTTTGACTTAATCTCCATTTAGCTTCTCATCTAAAAGGCGTTTGAGGAGAAGTTTGAAGATGTTTATAATGTGACTTGATTCCCTCCTCTTTCTCTTTTGCTGAGTAGATAATTGATTGTTAACCAGAAACTCAGGCCTTTGTTCCTTTTTCTTTTAGGAGAAAGACAATGTGATAGATGAACTTGTCACTGTTTATCATAGCACGGATGTCGATAATACACCAGGGTTATGTGTAGAGCTTTGGAGACATTAGTCATACCTAATTCAGTTACTAGGGTTCCAATAGTGACAGCATCTACAGAATGTCCAAAATGTTGACTCGTTAGTGCCAGATTGTGGGTCATCATGTGCATTTGTATATTATAGTTCACTTTCAAAAGTGAGTTGCCTTTGGTGATTATTTAATTCCAGTCTGAGTAGAAATCTGGTTTATGCTTCACCAGGAGCTTCTTTGCCTTCTCCCCCTCTTTAAGTATGCTAAAAATATAATTAAATCTGAGAAATAAATATACAGACATATTTTTGTATGTTTAAGAACTTAATTCCCAAACACATCATGAGAACTGTGGAGGTGATTTTGAGTTATTTTGGTTTCTGTCAAGGCCAAAGAGTGTGACTAGGGATGAGGATATGTTCTCTCATTTCTGTCAAGGCCCAAGAGTGTAACTAGGGATGAATATATGTTCTCTCATTTTTGTCAAGGCCCAAGAGTGTAACTAGGGTTGAATATATGTTTTCTCATTTTTCTCAGTTTCCTTTTTTGACTTCTCCCTTTCTTTCTGACTATGGTAAAATATATGATCCCTCTTTATTAGGCAATATGAAGTTTTCTATGGAAAATTAATATGTATCTATAGATTGCTAAAGGAGAAAAGGGGAATATAGAGGTAGTTATAGGTTATCCCCTTTAAAATAAACTAAAATCTACATGATAGGAAAGGAGAGGCTATATACTTTGCAGCTCGAATAATCGAGAGAGTATGTTAGATTTTCATTTTCTGTCAGTCACATCTTGTTCCTCCTTGTTTTTCCTTTCACTATCATTTGAAAATAGATCGTACAGGAGAAAGTTAAAAAGAGCTGGATAGTTGTGGATGCAAGAACTCTAAAGAAGGAAGATATAAGAAAAGAAACTGTCTATTGCTTAAACGATGATGACGAAACTGAAGTTTCCAAAGAGGACACTATTCAAGGTATTCTAACAAGCATCTGCATTTTTGCCCAGCAAAGACTGTCTTCAGAGTGCTGGGAGGCAGGCCAGGCTGTTCACCTGCACATGGTTCTTTGAGTTATAGAGGTGCAGCTGAGGCAGCAGTAAGACACTGGGTCTTGTAGGTCAGGGGGCCAGGAGGGTCTTGGGCAAGGTGGCTCTTAGGGAAGAAGTGTGTATTTGATTCTCTTGGGTTTTGATGGTCCCTCTTGCAGTCACACTGAAGAGATCCTGTGTGCTGTGTACTGTAGGAGCACAGTCTTCCAGAGAGCAGATGCCACAGAACAGGGTTAGGGGTTTGTCTGTTTTGTTTTGTTTTGTTTTTTTTTTTTTTTCACTTGGGGGGCATATGAGCCCATACTTATCCAACATACAACAATGAAAATAAAAACAACCAAATTCCAGTAATAAAATAAATTTAAATATACAAAAGCATAGAACTTGTCAACTGGATGCTTTTAAGTAGAGTTTTGGCTTCCATTAGATGGCTGAAGTTTTTTTTTTTTTTTTTTTTGTCTATCTCCAGCATGTGTTTTTGGACATTTTGTTCTGAAGATTTCCAATGGGCCATTTTCTCTGGATCTCTGGGTTTCTGAGTAAATGTGCTTTGATTATGTTTACAGCTCATACTTGTACTGTAGTCAACACGGCTGTCTTTGGAGGATAACTAATGTGTTATGTTTGCTACAGTTTTTCTTCTGGGCTGGCTAATCATTAAGGTAACTAGACAGCAGAAGATGCTACTTAAGAACTGTAATTAGATTTTAATCGTCTGTATATGGTGTATGTGGTTTGTTTCTGCCTCTACTTTTTTGCCTCTTGATCACAGGGGCAATAATTTGGTTCTAGGGAGTAGAAGACAGAGACTGCCCCTGGAGGGCATGTATTGTTGATATATGTACAGAGCTTATTTCAGGCCCCATATGCCTAATAGATGATCTGCTCTCCTTCTCCAGGGTTCCGCTACGGAAGTGATATAATTCCTTTTTCTAAAGTGGATGAGGAACAAATGAAATATAAATCAGAGGGGAAGTGCTTCTCTGTTTTGGGATTCTGTAGATCTTCTCAGGTACAGCAATTACTCTGCAGTTGTGAACAGAATGCATGCCTTGAGTTTTTGATTGGTTATTTTATTTCCAATTCATACTCATTTCCCATTCAGTCTTCTAAAATGTAATTTGAGGATGAGTGTTGCCATTTTTTTTATTTAAACAATTTTAATTTGTATGTGGGTGTGGATGTATATATCCATGTGAGAGGATGACCTCAGGTGTTCAGTGATTGTTTGGAATAGGGTCTTTCATTATCCTAGAACTTGTCAAGTTAGCATGGATGGCTGGCCAGTGAGCCCCAGTGATCTGCTATGTCTGCCTCACCAGTGCCAGGATTACAAGCGCCATACTAGGCTTTCTTAAAACTGTGACTTCTGGGGATTGAACTCATGTCTTTGTGTTTGCTGTTTGAGTTATCTCCCCAGCCCCATTGTCTTTGATATTTGAAAAGAAAAACCAAGATGTAGAGACTTGGCATAAATCTGAAGACCACATTCACTAAGTCACTGTCTCACCCCCCCCCCCCCCAGTATTTTGCAGTTGAATGGCTTACTCAAACTGGATGTCAAGCAAATCCTAGAATGTCACTTATTTATCTTTAATATGTGTTTTAAAAAGTTTACTTTTATTAATGTGTATGTACATGGCTACATGCGGGCATATGTTTGTGAGTGCAGGTGTTGGAGGAGGGCAGAGGGGTCAGGTCCCCTGGAGCTGGAGTTATAGGCCATTGTGAGCCCCTTGACATGGATGCTGAGAATCAAACTCAGGTCCTCTGGAAGGAAGGGATGTGCTCCTAGCCACTCCATCTCTCCAGTCCAGGATGTCATTGATCTATGCTGGGCATCTTTCGCCTCAAGTTCTGGTGTAGGGTTTTAGCATGTGCACCTTGTCTGTAAGTCTTAGGATTTTTAGGTACCAAAGTGAAGATACATGAAGTAGACATAATGGGAAGTCCTGCCACTCACCGTATGATTGCACATGCTCTTCTAGGAAGCACTGGTCAAAGATTCCCAGAGGTATTAGGTTCACTGTTCTTGGAATAGACTGAAAAATGATGAATCGTAGCTAATAAATATAAATATTATCTATTTAAAAATTTTTTCAAGGTAGGGTTTCTCTTTGTAGCACTGGCTATCCTGGAACTTTATAGACCAGGCTGGCCTCAAACTCAGAGAACCACCTGCTTCTGCCTCCTCAGCGCTGGCATTAAAAGTGTGAACCACCATAGCCCAGCAAATACTATCTTTTTATGTGAATGCCTCCCTAGGGATGAAGAGATTTTTATTGGAGAACTCATGTGGGAATTATGAAAGTAAATACCATCCAGTAGTCTGGATTTGAAGTTCTTTGTGTTGCTCTAGCACACAACCCTTTTAGTGTTAGGTTAATTCAGTGAAGTTCTATACTTTTGTAAGTATTTTCAAAACTCATACGCCAAGACCTGAAGAAATGGCTCAGTAGTTAAGAACATGAACAACTCTACCTGAGGACCAGAATTTGGTTCCCAGCACCATGTCAAGTGGCTCACAATTGCCTATTACTTCAGTTCAAGGGCATCCGGCACCCTCTTCTGGTGTTCAGGGGTACCTGCACACACATGACATACATTTATACACACACACACACACACACACACACACACACACACACTTTAAAAAACAAAACAAACTTTCATAAGTGAAAAAGAGGGTGAAGTTACTTAAAATCTCTAAGAATGCATCAGGCATGACTTTAATCCCAGCCCTCAGGAGGCAGAGGTAGGTGGATCTTTCTGAATTTGAGGCTAGCCTGGGCTACAGAGTAAATTCCAAGACAGTCAGGGCTATACAGAGAAATCCTGTCTCAAAATGCCAAACAAACAAACAAACAAATAAAAGAACTCTAAGAATGTACTGAAATAGAATGTACTAAATAATAATAAGTATATTTTGGAAGTTTAGAGACCCTAAAATTTCTTTAAAGTAAAATTATTTGCATTGCAAAGTATATGTTAAAATTTATGATTATTAATGCAATGCTTATTAATTGTGAGTGAAACTAACCTTATTTAGACCAATTTGTAGAAATTGTCTCCCCTCTTTTAAAAAAAAAGATCTATTTTTATTTTTTTATTTTAAGGTGCATGAATATTTGCCTGCTTGTACTTCTGTGTACCATGAGCATGCAGTGCCTGCAGAGGCCGGAAGGGTGCTAGGTCACTGGAACTGGAGTTAGGGATAGCGAGTTTCCATGTGGGTGCTGGGGATTGAACCTGGGTCCTCTGGAAGAGCAGTCAGTGCTCTTAACTGCTGAGCCATCTTCTCTAGCTCTCCTCTCCTTTTTTTGAGACTAGTTTCACCATGTATGCCTTGCTGGCCTGCAACTTGTTATATAGACCAGGCTGGCCTTGAGCTCACAGAGATCTGTCTGCTTTTGCCTCCCAGTTGCTGAGATTAGAGATGTGTGTCACCACATCTAACTGAAACCGCCCTTTCTGTGTCTAGATAGACAGATAAGTCCTACCCCAAACACCTTCTCATGTAATTCAGAACTGAGAACACTGAAATCACCTATGTCAGGCTAGAAGTGAGGGCCTATTTTAGCTAAATAACAAAGCAAAACAGAACAGAGCCAACAAATAAATACACTTTCCTTTTTTAAAAATACTTTTATTACTTCAGATTTTACTTTTAAATACTTGAAGTGCTTTCTAGATCAATTTTTAACTTCTAAATCAGTCTTATTTTATTGATTTTGCTTTTGAAGAAAGAAATTCTTTTATTCAAGTCTAGGCTTAAGAAAGTGGGTAAAGATTGGCCACCTCAAAGAGAAGACCCCTCCTGTTCCCCAAAGTGAAGGAAGGGTCTCACAGGTTTCCTGAGACAGGACAATCAAAGGCTTGACAGGGTTAGACACACTGTTTGATCTTTTTCCCAGCAGCCATGCAGGGTGAAACTCAACTTTGTTTTAAAGTTCCATCTCAGACAAGTATCATGAAATATTATAATTATACCTACTGTTCAGTGGATAATTACAGTGTTCCAACATGTAAGTTTTTGATAAAAATTCTTGTTTAGTTATTATTAGTCTCTTAGGCATGTACTGTGGTATTTTTTTTTTAAATTAGGAAATTGAAGATTAGCCCCATTATGTAATTAGCCCAAGATCTTAAAGTGAAATGGGAGCGACATGCATTTTGAGACTCCAAAGTCTGTGCCATTATTTAGTGGTGCTCTCACCATATGAACTAGCATGGTTTTGAAGAGCCCACTGTACATACCTGCTTTCATGTATTATCTTAACCAAAGGATACAAGGTGTTAAATACAGTGTTTTTCATGGGGCATATGACAAAATACAGATATGCACCTTTTAACAGACTAGTGATTATCACTTATCTTAAATAAAATCACACTGTCTTCAGTGTTGACAAAATACCATTTCTGAATGAATTGTGTGTGAATGGTGATTAATTGTTTGCTTGCCAAGCACACTACCACTGAGCTACACCATGTGTATATGTGTATATGTGTGTGTGTTTGTGTGTGTGTGTGTGTATGTGTGTGTGTGTGTACTGTTTACTTAAAAATATCAAGCAGCTTTTCAGTTCTCTTGCCAAGTTGTCAGGTGTTCTGGGTATATAATTATAAGAATTTAGCTATTAGTTTCCCTCCAAATTCCTTGCTGTTCTTTGAAAAAGTCATTTAGGTGCACTAGGAAAAGATAGTATTAGATATTTCTTTTTTTTCTCCATTTTTTATTTGAATTAGAAACAAGATTGTTTTACAGGTCAATCCCAGTTCCCTCTCCCTCCCCTCCTCCCCTAGTATTAGATATTTCTTAAGAATTTGTTTTTATGTGGCTGGAGTGATGGCTTAGTGGTTAAGAGCACAGTGTGCTCTTCCAGAGGACCTGGGTTCAATTCCTAGTACCCACATGCAGCTCACAACTGTCTGTAACTCCAGTTCCAGGGGACCCTCTGGGCACCCTCACAATGACATACATGCAGGCAAAACATCAGTGCACATAAAATATAAATAAACTTTAAATGATTTGTTTTTATTTTGAATTATGTGTATATGTGTGCACCTGTGTGTAGGTAGGCTCATGGGAATGCAGGGGCCTGTAGAGCCCAGAGGTATTGGATCCCCTGGAGCTGGAGTTACAGGTGGTTATGTGTCACCTGACAGGGATGCTGGGCACCAAACTCAGGGACTCGGCAAGACCAGTGTGTGCTCGTAAGTGCTAAGCCATCTCTCCAGCACCCCCATTAGCTACATTTGAATAAATTCCAACAGGGTAAGTAAATCTCTGTGAATATGCTGGATGGAACCACAGGGTTATCCTTGTGTGCCTTAGAATAGTGGTCTTCCTCTGGGAGATGGCAGCTGAAATGAGAACTATTTGAATTCCTTGGACCTTACACTTCTGAAGCTTAGTGTTCGTGAGCTGTGGTCACAGTAGACTGTTGGTAGTTTTCCAGCTTCAGAGGAAAGAGTGCAGGAAAAAACAGAAAAGAAATGCTGCCCAGGACAGCACACGACACTTTCTTTTAAATAAGCTGCAGCTCCACAGACAGTGAGAGCTCGATCTTGGAAGATGGTGCAGGGGCTGTGATTTCAGGGACATTCATTTTCTGGTCAGGTATTGGTAGAGTTCTGTGACCCTGATTGTATTTCAAGAGGGGGCAAGGACTGGCAGTTCATTTTGTTGAAGTGGTTTCTCTGCCTCCAGCCTGCTGAGGATTGGCTCTATGCTTTGTTCTCTTTGCAGTTCATCAGGGACTTGTCACTGCTTCCGAGGACTTCATTCCCAAGAGACTTTTTGAGACAGTCTTTGTTAATCTCGAATTTTCCCCCTTTCCCCTTGCACTGTGCCACCACACTCTAAAAGCAGCCCCAGTGAGCACACACTATGTACCTGTCACTCCAGATTGCTAATTCACTGTTATGTCTGCCCAGGGTCCGGTGTATAGACCTTATTTTACTTTTTATTTGCCAAGGTGTATTCACTTTTATGTGTATGAGTGTTTTCCTGCATGTATGCGCATCATGTACATGCCTGGTGCCCTTCATAAGAACAGCAAGTGCTTTTAACTGCTGCACCCTCTCTCCAACCCTTAGATTTTTCTTCTGGTTCGTTCTTACTTTCCAAGTCTTGTCTGAGGTGTCAGTGTTTGCATATCTCTCCTGAAACCCCCACGAGCAAGCTCAATTCCGTGTTCTTAGGGCACCATATAATGTTGGACTATGATACAGCATTGTATTTAATTCCACATCTATCTAGGCTTCTGAAGGACCTGATTATATCCTGTTCACTGCTCTGTTTTAGTATACAACATAAGAACAATACAGAGCAGGGACTAGGTGCTCATTGAGTTGAGCTTCAAGTACTAAATTGTTTCTAGTCGCTGTTGGTATTTACCAGTAAGAACATTTTGAGCAGACATTTTTAGTAATGTGTGACCTTACAGCTGGTTATATTTCTCATTCTGCTTCAAAACCAAGTCTGTTCCTTCTCTTGTAGGTCCACAGGAGATTCTTTATGGGATATCAAGTTCTGAAGGTCTTTGCAGCAAAAGATGATGAGGTAAGTTGGATGTAGAACTTTGAGATAGTACTACAAGATTTAATTGTCATTTTAGGGAAGTAGGTTGTTTATGCTCCCACCCCAGTCCCCCCCCCTTTCATTGAGACGGGGTTTCTCTGTGTAGACCTGGCTCTCCTGGAACTTGCTTTGTAGGTCAGGCTGACCTTGAACTCAGAAATCAGCTTGCCTCTGCCTCCCAGATGCTAGGATTAAATGTGTGCACCACCACACGTGGCCTGCCTTTGAGTTTTACGTGGCATGAACAGTCTCAACAGCAGTGGGAAAGTCACCAACCTTTAACTCTGAAAATGGAGAAATGATAAATGAGTTTGTTTTAGCTTGAGCATAAGACCTGAGGACATAGTCTTGCACAAATAGTAACCTTTCAACAGTGTGGCTTAGGTGTAGGGATTTCATGTCAGGTGTTTAGGAGGATTGGGTCAGGTTAACTCTTGTCTCTCGTGAACACTGGGTGTTTAGTGTTGGTGCGTGGACCTAGAGAGTGGTCCTGATCTGTAGACTGTTTGCTCCTGTCTCATGTTCCCAGATTCTCTGTTGTCAGGCTGGTCCCTTCCTGGCTGACAATTCTGATGGCGGTCACATCTTACACTCCCACTTTGCTCTTTGTACATATTTTCTTCCTGAAATATTAAGTCAGAACTCAATATTTCATTGGTGTGTTGATCTCAGCTGGAAAATTCCAATACAGAATGTGTTTAAGACAGTAAGCAGGCTTCTAACATCCAAAAGTATGTGCATTAGAAATAATGAGTTTAATGTAGAAGATTCGTTTGGGGTCGGAGTAGGGTATTGATGACCTCTTTTTCTCCTCACTTCTGGAACATGGCTGGCTGCTCGCCTAGTAGGTGGCCATGTGATTGTTGTCTGAGAACAGTTAAAATTAGGAGATGATGATGCTTGGCTTCCACTTTCCTGGGTGTGGGTGAGTTCATTATAACACATGGGTGACTTCACATTTGAGAATTCTAGTTCATGGTTTTCTCCTGAATCAAGCTTTAGAAATTGTGCTGGTCTGGTCTGGTGTGTATTGTTTAACTATGAGTTTTAAGCGTTGGCTGTGGATTTAACCCCCACCTGTTTTCCTTTAACACAAAGGAAATTCTGATCACTTCATGAGAACCGTTAGGAGTGTAGTGAGAAAACATTCTATTACAGAGCTGTGTTGAGGCACGTGAACTGCAATTCAAATATGTCATATAAGTGGCTAGTTTCTGTTGGCAAAGTCAAGTGAAAATGTAGGTACAAGTTTCCAGTAAAGCAGCCTGTGTTTGGAATAAGGACTGGAATTGCACTAGGAGAGCCAGGTACATGTACATGGGCCTGGTAACAGGTATGCTTGAAAAATAGAGGAAGATTTGGGGATTTTACTAGGACCCGGAAATCTTTGCAGTTATTTTGAAAGATACTTAATTCACTTTGGTGCTCTAGGGAGTCAGTAAGCCCTGATTGGTGCACTGTGGAAATTCCTAGGTAAGGCCAGCCCCAAGGTTATAGCTGGCTGTTTTACAGTCAGTTACTAATTATAGCTAGATCTAAAGGTAGGCCAAGCTGTCTCTGGTTTCTTGAGATAATTTGGGGCAGGTATTGGTGACCTGGGTGTTTCTTCTTTCCCATAGTCTTTCGATTCCTATTTTTGTGGGTGGTGACAGTTATGGCTCAATTTTGTATAATGAATTTCTATATATTATAGGGTCACTTTGAAGTTTTTAAAGAAAAGATGCCTTCATTTCCTAATGGCTCTTTGGTATCTGTCAGTTTTTGATGTGGTAGTCAAAAACTGATATTCTCTAACTGGAGCTTATAAGAGGAGAGTAGGGAAAGCAGGCTGTATGAGAACTTCCAGTAAAAACTGCATGCAGCGGACTTGTGTGGGTAGATAGGGGAGTAGGAGGGCGATGACAGATATAATAGCAGTCTTCATACATTTTGAGGCTGATCACTGGCGTAGAAATTAATCTGTGCTTCATACCAGAGAAGTGAACTGGGGCCAACAGGTGGGAAGTTTTGCTCCATATGAATATTCTGTCATCCCAGATTGCCAGCCTCACATGGATTGCTTCCATGTGAGGTAGTCAGATGCCCATCTCTGGAAGTTTGTGAATAGAGTCTCCAATAGTACCAGGTATATGCGTTTGTGTGGGTTATTAAAGTAGGTGAATGTTTTTCAATTAAAATGTTCTGTGAATAACTACTTAAAATGTTTTCTTTGGTTATTTGCTTAAAAGTGTGTGTGTGTGTGTGTGTGTGTGTGTGTGTGTGTGTGGAGAGAGAGAGAGAGAGAGTACAGATTTACGTGCTGATTTGCACTATGTGTGGAAGAATAGGGGAGAGGAGAAAGGAAAGGAATGGGATTCAGTTGAGTTAAATGAAGGATTAGTATTGTTATAATATAGAAAATAATCATTAACCCATCCTCTTTTACATTAAATATCCTGATTGGACCCATCAAAGACACACAAATTGAAATTTCAGGCAAATTAGAAATAGTCTCTGCTGGGCGTTGGTGGCGCACGCCTTTAATCCCAGCACTCGGGAGGCAGAGGCAGGTGGATCTCTGTGAGTTCGAGGCCAGCCTGGTCTCCAGAGCGAGTGCCAGGATAGGCTCCAAAGCTACACAGAGAAACCCTGTCTCGAAAAACCAAAAAAAAAAAAAATAGTCTCTTCCCCAGACTCTCTGCTTCTCTGGTCCTCTTCTATGGGACTTAGTATTGGAACATACACATTATTTTTGCTCCGTGTCTCATTTCCACTTTGCTCAACAAAGTAAGGGAGTCCTCTTAGGTCTGTGACAGGGCCTTGGAACCTAGCAAAGAATAGGCTTAACATAAGTATTCCTTGAAACAAAGGAGATTTATCTCTTTTGAAACCTGTAGACAATTTTGATGGCAAGATATTGAGGCCATGGGTTTTATGAAGGGGTTTTATGGACTTTGATACAGGTTAGCTGTGGTACAGGAAAAGTGCATAGTGTTTGGGAATTTGGAAGATGAAACCAAGTAAGGCAAATCTGAAATGTGTTAGAAGACACGGGTGGGGTTGTAGCCAGAAGGAAATTACATGAGCAGAAGCCCTAGGGGAAGCAAAGCACAGACCCAGCCCTGCTGCTGATCAGCTCCACAAGGCTGGAGTAGAACTGTTGAAAGTTGGTGGAAGGGACTGGCACGATCACCTCTGGACAGGAGAGGCAGTGATGGGCTTGAGAGACAGCACAGAGGTCTAGCTGAGGGATGAGGAAGGTATTGTTAAGGACTTTGAGGCCATAGTTTGGTTGAGTTGAAGGTGTTGTTAGGGGAAGTAGGGAATACAAGAGGAGAAGGGTAGTAATACATGTGTTAAGATGGGTATCTGCCAGCAGTCTATGCCTGGACCATAGAGAGTATTTATTTATGTGTCCATGTGTAGAATCCAGAAGATGATACTGGGTGCCTTTCTTTCCCTTATTTCCTTATTTCTCTTATTGAGACAGTGTCTCTTGCTAGGCTAGAAACTTGTTATTTTGGCTAGGCTGGACCTGCCAGTCCCACACAGCTATGCCTGGATTTTTATGTGAGTGCTGGAGATTCAAGCTCTGATGTCAAAGATTCGACTTTAGATCTTTGGTCAATAAGAATAAGCACTCTTCTCACTGAGCTGTCTTCCTACCCCCTTAGAAGAGTCTCAAAGATTTTTGACTCTTCAACTCATGAGACTGGATGAAATAATCCCTAAATTAAATTTTAGAGTAAGAAGAAGAAAGAAAGGCTGAAATTAGACTTTCAGAACTAGTTGGAAGAAGAAAAGAGCTTGGGGAGCAGTAGCCCACACAGAATAATTAGAGCACCCTGTCACTTCTGGAGTCAGAGTGTGGAGACGGGGGCCAGGCAAGAAGCTACGGTGAGTCCACCAACCAAAGACTTGGCAGGTAGAAGTCATGGACTCTTCAAGATAGTTTCATTAAGAAAGTAGAAAGCATAGCTGAAATGAACCAAAGAATCATGCTCTAAGCAGACGGAAATTAGAAGGTTTGAGGAGAGAGAGAGAGAGAGAGAGAGAGAGAGAGAGAGAGAGAGATAGTAGTAATTCATTCAAGGAGAGAGACAAAGATTTTGTTTAGGAAGGCTGAGTCTTGAGTTTATAGAGTGTGGGCTTAAACTCAGAGAAAGGAGGTCAAAGTAGTAGGGATCTAGTTTATAAAGTCCTCAAAGAGGCACACTAAGTACACTACTGGAGTCTGAAGTATGTGAAAGGACACTGTTGTGTTTGACTTGTCGGTGTTGGAGCTGCAGCCCAGGGTTTTGCACATGCTAAGCAGGTGCTCTACCCCTGAGCTGTCCACCCTTAGAAAGGATGCCTGAAACAGGAAGAAAGCAGAGATCCCTGTGTGAGTGTCCAGGGCTTGTGTTTGTGTGGAACTCTCACAGGCTGGACTTACGCTGACACACATCTTTCTTACAGGCAGCGGCTGTTGCTCTCTCTTCCCTTATTCATGCTTTGGATGAATTAAACATGGTCGCCATCGTTCGATATGCTTATGACAAAAGAGCTAATCCTCAAGTTGGTGTAGCCTTTCCTTATATTAAGGATTCCTATGAGGTAAAACCTACAGACCTTTTTCATCCTCCCCTGCCCCCTTTGCACTTTGCAGTACTGGGGATCCATCCTGTCCAACCCTGGGCCTCCCGCCTGCTAGGCTATTCATTTCCCCTCTGTCCTTTTATTCTAAACACTGCTTTGGGAATGTTGTTAAAATTGGTATTCTAGTTCTGTGGGAATCCATTTCTGAATTTCTTTCAAACTCCCAGATAATGTTGGAATTGCTGGTGTGTGAGCCAGGTTTTCAGTGAGAAAACAACATGACTCATGAAAGTATTTAAGGGACTTTTATTAAATCAGTAAAGGTGACACAAGGGTTCCTCGAGTTCTCATCCTTTTGGCCTTTTCAGAGCCACGTGGGAAGAGAAATCACTCTGGTTTAGCAGATAGGGACCATGAATAAAGGTGTGGGTGTGGTTTTATTGTGAGCCATGTGAAGTTCAGTCTGTTTGAGGCTCTCCTATTTACAATACAGGTCGGGATTGCTTTGCTCCCAGTTCCTCAGAGACTACATGCAGCAGGGCTGTAAGAGAAGGTAGAGACGCCGACTTCCCAGTCAGTTGTCCTGCCATCCAGGCTTTCCCCTTTTGCTCTGCTTGGCCCTGTATTTTACAGTTACCTAGCAGCCTTCCTTGAGACATCTCTTTTGTATCTGGTATCTGTCATACTGTTTGCAAGTGTGAAGTTATTTGCAACAGTCCAAATCCTTTATCCTACCTATGTCACATTTAGACTAAGTTCTGAAATACTTCTGCTGTGCCACTTCCACAGCATTTGGGACCACTTACATATAGTTCCATTAATCTGATGGCTTCTGCTTTTTGTCTCCTTTCTTTCTCATTAGTGTTTAGTTTATGTGCAGCTGCCTTTCATGGAAGACTTGCGGCAATACATGTTTTCATCACTGAAAAACAATAAGAAATGCACTCCCACAGGTGAGTTTATTTCCATTTAGCTCACTAATGGCTCTTCACTCAGATGGTTCTTGGGAAATCACCTGGCTGCAGCTGTTGATGGGGCCAGGACTTCATGGGGTGAAGTAGTTGGATTCTAATCACACACTTACAATAATGATGAAGATGGTTCAGCAGGTGTTCTGATAGGGAGCTGGTTCTCCTACCCTCCTTCCCACCTGTCTGGTTCTCCCATCTGAGGAGCAGCTTGCTGGAGGTCTGCTCTCCAGTTGTGAGTGTAAGTTTGCTCTTGCTGAAGCGAATTTGAGTGCACCCATGTCCTGCATGTAGTCTGATGTATCTGGGATGATAGTGGCCATATTCTGCTTTCTTCTTTCTTTGTAGTTCATGGCCACAGTTCAGTTCTCATTGTTGCTTGTTGCTAGCTTCCTGTAGTTACATCTGGCTGCAGATGTAAGGGTACCAGAGTGATTCTAACAGTTATCAGTGCTGTCTTCCAGGCAGCCCACCATTTGTGTAGTTGTGGGCAGAGTGTAATCCCCCCCCCCCCCACCCACCCACACACCAAAAAATAAACAACCCCCCCACCCACCCACACACCAAAAAATAAACAACCATGAATGACGATCAAGGCTTTAGGAGAGAGAATTGAAGAAATATAACAAACAATGGTGGATGCTTTAGATTACGTACTATATTGTCTGTGTCATGGTAGGGAATTGTGAGGTGACTTTGCAACTGGGGTTCACCCTATGGGTTCTTAGGGTTAGGCCCTCTGGGATCAGTGTGCTATAAAAAAAGACCAAGAAAGGGGCTGAAGAGATGGCTCAGTGGTTAACACTGGCTGCTCTTCCTGAGTTCAATTCCCAGCACCCACATAGTAACTCACAACCATCTATAATGAGATTTGATGCCCTCTTCTGGCATACAGGCATCAGGAAGGTAGAGCACTGTATACATAATAAATAAGTAAATAAATCTTGCTTTCAATAAAAAAACAAAAAACCAAGAAATCAAATGGGTCACTGGGGCTGGTGTCCTTTTCTCTAGAGTTAGGTCTCTTTCTATCATGGTGGAGGCATGTGTGGACCTGAATATAAGAGAAGTTGTTGTGTGCTGTTGATTGTGTCTCTACCTCTTGATTTCTTGTTAATTAATTAAGAAAGTATTGGGGATTGGGCTGAGGGCCTCATGCATTCTTGGTAGTCATTCTAACCACTGAACTATACCCCAGCCCTCATTCCAAACTTGTTGAAAAGTTATCTTATAAGTCAGCCCAAGTGTAAAAGTTGAACATATTTTGATAAGCTGGCTTACTTCCTGGGACTTTTCTTAAAGCTATTGGCAACCTTCTCAAGTTGATGTTTTTGAAGGGGTTTATAATGCCAGAATGATCTACCAAGAGACTAGCTGGTAGTGTAGCAGGTGGTACTCACTGAATGTTCTCTTGTGCAAGTAATAGCTCCTGAGTTGCCTGGTGGACCCTACACTCATCATTTATATAGATGGCGATGGTTGTGTCATTGCTTGAAACTGCCTGTGGGAGGTTCAGACGCAGGCAGACAGTGCCGTGAGATAAATATCTATGTGCTCTTCCATGTTGTGACACTGAAGAGTAGAGAACGGAAATGTGAGGTCCTGTTTGAAACTGCTTTACTTTCCCACCTTCGCTCTGCGATGGACAATAGAGACACTGCTTTAGTTGGATGGCTTTGTGAACCTCGGTGAGCCAGCAGAGTGAAAGACTCACATGTGGGAGAGTCAGAGCTTTTCAGGGAAGATTTGCTTCTTGTGCACACAGCTTTGCTGTGCCATTTGTATTGACTTGGCAGATATTTATTTATTTATTTTGGTTTTTCAAGACATGGTTTCTCTGTGGGACAGTCCTGGCTGTCCTGGAACTCACTTTGTACACCACCACAGCCCGGCTGACTTGGTAGATTTTTATTGAAGGGCACTTGCCAGGGATTAAGGGAGTCATCAAAGAGAAACTGTCATGTTTCTGCCACAGGAACTTTAGAGTTTGAATGGGATGTTTTCAGGTGTATGTTGTGTGCTTAGTGGCTTTGCCAAGTGAAAAGTTGACACTAACAGATTATGAAGGAATGCACTCATTCTTGTCGATGGTGTCTTCCTGTTACACTGCTGGGCTCTGCTGAAAGTTACACAAGGTATTCAGAAAGCTTCCCTTCGTTAGGAAGTTGTTTGTTGTTTGAAATTCGTTTCTCTTTAGTTAATTACTATTTTAGAAATATTAGCTCTCTTTGGATACTAAGTATTTTGTTCAAGTCTCCATAGGGGTTATTTTGTTTTTTTAATGGCAGAGATATTTTTCTGGAACAAACTCTTTTGCTTTTGGTATGGTACTCCATTGCCAAAGGTTCACTGAATGGTAGAGCTGGAAAAGAGTGAAGAGGGCAGCTGTTCCCTTGTTTTTGTTTTTGTTTTTGTTTTTTGTTTGTTTGTTTTTGAGACAGGGTTTCACTTTGTAGCCCTGGCTGACCTGTAACTTGCTATGTAGACCAGGCTGGCGTTGACTTTTTGGAGATCTGCCTGCCTCTGCCTCCTCAGTGATTAAATTAAAGGTGTATGCTACTATGCCTGGGAAGTCAACTACTATTTTTTTTTGACAATTTATTTTATATGTATGGGTGTTTTGTTTGCATGTATGTCTGTGTATCATGAATGCCTTGTACCCACATAGGGCAGAAGACAGTGCTAGATTGACCAGAACTGGGGTTATAGCCTGTTGTGGGTGCTGGGAATCAAATCTTGCTCTTAACCTTTGAGCCTTCTCTCCAGCCTTCAGGTCAACTACTCTTAATAGCTCTTTTCTCAAATGAGAAAACCAAGGGTCAAGTCAAGCACTCTCATAACTAGTGACATTTTTTGGCAGAGCAGATGCTTTATGACTGTATAACCTGCCAGTGTTGCTGTATCCAGAGATGGAAAGCATTTTGATTTGATGGAGAATAATAGAAATAATCTATTTTTCCTGTTTACTTCTCTGTTTATCACTGTTTTAAGAGGCACAGTTGAGTGCTATTGATGATCTGATTGAGTCTATGAGCTTGGTAAAGAAAAGCGAGGAAGAAGATACCATTGAAGACTTGTTTCCAACCTCCAAAATTCCAAATCCCGAATTTCAGAGATTTTTCCAGGTGAGAAAGGAAAGGTTAGCCACTTATGTTTCTTTTTCTTTTTCCCTCCCTCCCTCCCTCCCTCCCTCATTCCCTCCCTCCTTCCCTCTCTTTTTTTCTTTTTGGGATGTCTGGCCTGGAACACAATATGTAGATCAGACTGGTTTGAACTCACAGAGGTCTGCCTCCCTTTAAAGCCATAGGTCAAGCCATGTTATGAAAACACCATGGAAATAAAAGGGAGAGATCCTGTAAGAGGACAGCTTATGGACACCACCACTAACGTAGTAACATTGGACAGAGATCTAAAAGAGAAGGAAGGAGCCTGATGTGACGAGGGCATGATTCAGAGAAGTACTGTAAGCCTGGCAGTGTGAAGAGCCGTATACTAGCTTGTTCCGTTTGTCTGGAGAGAGCTCGGGGAAACCACTTCTAGATGTAGACGAGTATTTTCTCAATAGGACTGTAGTCATCAGGAAATAATGCCAACAATTGACAAATGGGACCTCACGAAATTAAAAAGCTTTGCACACAAAAAGAAACAGTTTAATGGTGTGAAGAGACAGCCATAAAGTGGGTAAAAAAGTTTTGTCAGCAATACCCCAACAAAGGAAGGAGTGTCTAGAACAGACAGAGAACTCATGAAAAGGCCCAGTGAAGCTCAGGGGGAGTTGGGTGATTAGGAATACACAAAGCAGGAGGGGTTGAACTCAAAAGAAATGAACATACTATGGAGAGGGAAGGGTTGTTGGTGTGTTGAAAGGGATGCTGGAGGTGGAGCACATGGACTTTCTAGATGAAATTGGTGTGGAATCCCTGGTTGAGGGTTCCCCAGAATTTTCAGGATACTGACTCCTTGGTGATATTCACTATCAATCCCAGAATTTTTTTCTTTAGGCTGAAAACTTCCATATTGCATTTTCTTCATTATAGGGAACCAGTTCATGGAATAGAATAAAGAATATGCTTTATGATATGAAATAGTAGTTTGAATTGCAAGAGCTACTCAGCTCCCTTTTTTTTGTCTTCAAAATTACTAGTATGTAAGTTGTTTGAAGTGGGAATAGGGCGGGGTATCTTAGTGACAGCGTGTGCCTGGCATGTGCAAGAAGACCTGGGTTCAGCCCACGGCAGTAGTAAATAAAATGGGCTGGTTAGAGCCTTCCTTACGGGAGACAAACATCAACGGGCGTCTCACTTCAATTTTTTTTTTTTAATGGCATCTTGTTGCTTCACTTCTTGTACTGTGAGAGCACTTGTTCTCAACCTGTGGATCACGACCCCTTCGTTTGTGTTGACCCTTTCACAGGGGTCACATATCAGGTGTCCCGAATGTCAGATATTTAAATTAAGATTCACAACAGTTGCAAAATCACAGTTATGAGGTAGCAATGAAAATAATTTTATGGTCAGGGGCCACCACAGCATGTAAAAGGGCTACAGTGTTAGGAAGATTGAGAACCACTGCGTTAGATACTGACTTTTTGGTCAGATGCAAGTGCTGCCAAAGCCTGACTTAGCCTGAAGGCAGCACAGATGCCAGAGTAGAAGTAGCCTGTGTCCAGTTTGCCCACTTGGACAGTGGACAGCCTGTCTCGCCCTTGGTCCTCACCCCACTCTTGGTGCCCCTTTCTGATACCCTTTCAACAATGAGTACCCTAAAAAACAGTGTCCTCAGCCAGTGTCTAATAGACACTTGTTATATGTTGCGCAAATTTTCTGTGCTTATAGTTTAGCAGTAAACAAGGGATCTCTGTTTTCAAGGGGAAGGGCTAGATAATACATAAGTGAACTAAGCAATGCTTGAAAACCACAGAATTGGGAAATGTTAGAATATGATTAGGTACTAACTTGCAAGTGGAGAGGCTGCTTCATATGCAGTGTCAGGGAAAGGCTTTCTGTGAGATCAATATTTGAGCAAAGACCCAAATGATGAGAAGGGTCCAGCTCTGCCCAGAACTAGGAACAGGGAGAAGAAACAGAAGGAGTATTGAGCTAAGGACCAGAGACAGAGATGAGCTTGGCTTGAGTGAACCCGGAAGAGCTTATTTTTACTTGGCTGTGAGTAAGGAGGCAAATGGCAGTGCCACAATCGGAATCGGGGGCTGTGTCATGCAGGACTTTCCAGGCTGTGGGAAGGAGCTTGTATTAGTTGTTTTTGTCTCCAGAATACTTGGTAGAAACAAGGTAGGGAAGGTGTCCTTTGGCTCCATTTCAGGGATTTTCACAGCTGGGGAGGCAGGACGGAGCAGCTCATTCCATGGTGGTGGCAGCACAGGTGGTGGGCAGGGTGACCACTGCCACCAGCTTACCCCAGCTCCTGAAGGTTTCAGAATCAGGCCCCCCCCCCCCCCCCTTCCCCCCCCCCCCTCATGTTTTCCAGCTCCCCCCCCCCCCCCCCCAGCATACTTGCCAGCTGAAGAATATCTTCAGAATGTGAGCTTTGGGGACATCCCAGACTTAAAGTGCACTAGGAGAAGTGACAGCAGAAGCTGAGAGACCCGTTGAAGGTGACTGGGCCAGGAACAGGCATGAGTGGTGGTGTTAGTGGGGTGGAGGGCCATGGGTCACACATGTGGCGGCAGGGTCACACTTTGCTCCCCCGGGGTGGCTTGTGTCAACTCAGTGTTGTCATGTCCTTTAGACTCTCTCCTGGGGCTCAGAATGAGCAGCTCCCCTTTAGCCTCTGTCTCATCCGTCACATGCTGGCCTCTAAAACCTTAGTGGAAGAGAAAGTGCATGTGATAAAGGAAATAAAAGATCACTATGAAAAGGCTGTAGTCTTGTAGTCTTAGGAAGTTATGTCTCAGGGAAACTTGGTATGCCCTGAATAGTTTATAGGATCAGGGCCCTCTAGGAGGTTTACAGAGGGTATTACTTCTATGCTTAAGTCTGTTTTTATGTGACCATTGTCCTCTGAGCCATCCTATTTTGTCTCTTCTGTTTGGCGTGAGTCTCATAGCCCTTCCAATTAAAGATGGAGGGTTGCTGACCAGAAAACAGAAATCTGTTTGGTGTCAGCATCAGTGTTTTAGCCTTTCTACTTTCCCTACAGTGTCTGCTGCACAGAGTCTTACATCCCCAAGAGCGTTTGCCCCCAATTCAGCAGCACATTTTGAATATGCTGAATCTCCCCACTGAGATGAAAGCCAAATGTGAGATTCCTCTCTCTAAAGTGAGGACCCTTTTCCCGCTGACAGAAGCCGTCAAGAAAAAGGACCAAGTGACTGCTCAGGACATTTTCCAAGACATGTAAGTACTAGCTATGGTCACCTTTGATATTTGTAGCAATGCAGGGGGCGGGGGCAAGTCTGGAATTAAGGTGCTGGCCCAGGGTTTTCTGGAATCACAGAGAGGGACAGCGCAGCTTCTTAAGCCTCTTGTGGAAATGCTAAGTTCTCATACCTGTCCATTAGAGTCATTGTTTATCCTTGATGTTCACCTGGGCTCAACCTTCTGGTTTGGGTTGGCTTTTGCACCGACAATAAAGTTTTTGTGAATTATAAATAAGATTTGTGAATACCAAAGCTGAATTTTCCTCTTTTAAAACAATTTTTAGTTTTGTTTCTTTTATTTGTGTTTGTGCGTGTGAGTGTGTATGTGTGTGGGGAGTCAGAGAACAACTTTTGGATGGGTCCCAAGATCAAATTCAAGCAGTCTGGCTTGGCTGCAGGTCATCCTGCTGGTCATGAATTGTCCCTTTCTAAAGTAAAGATCTGGAAATGACAAGAGCAGGCTGGACATCACGAGGTTTCTGTGGTGGGTAGTTACGTGTCAGTAAGAGTTTTGGAGGGAACATGAGGAGAGCAATGAAAACCATGACCCTTTAGCTGTTCTGCTAGTGCGCCACTGACATGCTGATTGTGGCATTGGGGAGGCATTTGCTAATTAAGGAGGGAAATACATTTCATATTATGCATCAACCAAGCTTGCAAATGGCTGATGAATGTTCTTCTTTGTCACATTTTGTTCAGAATCTATATTAATTTCCATATAAATACCAGTAAGCCTGAAGAAATTGTTCATTATATAGAATCCTTTGGGTATGTGACATTGACTTTCCAGACGTCACTCAACTGGCTATTGGTGATTTTTTTTCTCAAGCCAAAATAATATTTCTTTCTGCTGCATTTTGAGATTTGACATCAGACCATGATTCACCCCCACCCCCGTTTTCTTTTATTTCCTTCCCACAGCAGTATCTTCATTGACAAAGTAAGGCTTACTATTTATAAATACCCAGTGGAAAAGGATGAGTAATTCCCAGAAACTTTCATTGGTTTCTATAAATCAATGTTTGGTGAATTATTGGACAAGTGGAATAGAAAGCTTTGCATTTTTCATAGCTTCCCAGAGGTAAACAGCCCAAGCTTTGTCAGAATTGGAAGAAAAGAAAACAACTGGATTGATTCTGTTACATGAACTCCCATCACACCCTGGAGAGGTTTATGGCCCTTTTATTCTATCCTGCCTTCTACACAGGAAGCCTGTCCCTAAAAAAAAAAAAAAAAATCTATGTCACCTGCATCTTTCTCTGCCTGTATGCCACTGAGCCAATTCATGGCAGCTCAATGAAGCCTGTGCCCTTCTTCCTGTGGCTCCTTGCTCTTGTCTCACTGCAATCACAGGGCTATTCTCTCCCAGCATTAAACTCCAGTTCGTGATCTTGATTACCTTCTGGTACTGTGGGAAAGAAATGGACCATTTTCTTCTCTTCCTTTGATTAAAATGTAAATTAGCTGGTTAAAAAACAAACCACAGAGATCCAGAAGGCAGTTGTGCTGTGCTGTGATCCCTGCAGTGATTACACCTTCAGCTGTGGTCCTATCACTCATTGCCCTGGAAGCTTGGACGTGCACAGTTTCTTGTTCTTTGCTCCTGTGGTAGTGTGCAACACAGAGCAGCTTGCACACATTCCTGCTCTCTGCCTTTTATTCTCAGAAGCCTGCCTTAGTTTTTAAGAACTGTAGAAGCAATGAATTAAGCATAAATCTACTTAGCGCCTCCTCTATTCAGGGTTGATTCAGTCACTTTCACACGGGTTATAAAACTCTCCATTTTAATGAAAGTGTTCCAGTTAGCCTTAAAGGTTATGCTAAGAGGGAAAACAAATTGCTGGTGCTAAGCTGTGCTTTTGTATTTATTCATCATCCTCGAATCCAGTTTACCTATTTCTAGTAGACAGATAAGGAACTAATATTTGGGAGTGATAGTTGTCTACCAAGGAAATTTCATAGTAATGAAAAAGAGTCTTATGCTAGGAATCACTAGTTTTTATACCAGTGATGTCACTTGATAGGATTTTGGTTAAATAATTTTATCTTTATGAGAATTTCTTCCTCTAAATACAGTCCTTGGCAGGCAGAATGGTATAGTGGATAAAGATTGTTGCTTTGCAAGCCTGACTACCTGAGGGTCGATGTAGAAAACCAGCTCTACAAAGTAGTTCTCTGACCTCCCCACAGTCATGCCATGGCACATGCCCCTCCCCAATAACAATTGAAAAGATTGCAATCTCATTTCAAGAGATACCATGGCAACAAAATCCGGTGATAAAGCACTCTGAACTATTGGGGCATCTGAGAAATTGCTGTTCCTCTTCGGCCTATTGGATACCTAGTGCTTGTGGTGGTAATGTCTTCATTTCTAAAGGGAAACCTCTGGTGGCCCCTGCATGGAGCCCCACAGTAAACTACCTGTTGCCTGTATTGTCTGAGAGCATTTCTTCCCTTAATGGTGGCACAAGTGAAAGTATCATCTCTCGGACAGGTGTTGCAGGACAATGGGGACATCTGAAGTCCAGCTCTGCATAATGACACACATTTGACCTTGCTTACTTTTGGACTCTGCTGTTTTTTCAAGTTCCCTAAGGCTTTGCTCCCCATTTGCCCTCAGCAGACAGCTTCATCTGACTAAGGTTCAAGACATGAAACTCCAGAGTCATCTCCCCTGCTCTGGGTGACTGTAGGTGGAGGTTGCCTATTCTGTTTCCTCATGAGTGAAATAGGGGTGGCAGGAATACCTACCTCGTAGGGTTGCTATGAGGATTAATTGAATAATTCATGCTATTTACCTAGAACCTAACACAGTGCATATCATATATCATAGAACAGTTTGTCACTAAACAGTCTTCTAAAGACCCTCATTGTATTCCTAACACATTATCAATGACAACGTTAGTAATTGGAAGTGATGATTTCATAGAGAAAGTAGTGGCTACAGGTGGGTACTTCTGAATCTTACAGACTATCTAATTTCCAAACATGCCTACTTCGCAGTCACCTTTACTTCCTTCTCTCCAGGCCCAGTGGACATAGGACACTGCATCCTTTACTCTTCATCATCCCTGTAACCTGAGCTCCCATCTGTTTTCATATCTGTTACCCTGGTCCACTAATAGTGTTTTCTTTCCTCTGTCCCCCCTTCTTCTTCCTGTTAACATTCCTTTCATCTAAACAAAATACAAAATACTCTCTCCAGCCTCCTCTCTCTAAAGCTACTTGTTAACAATCACTGACCTACTCGCTGTCTTTCCTGTTCCAGGCTAGGCCTACTGGAAGAGTAGTCTACTCTGCTGCCTTTCTCAGCTCGTCCTCCTCCTCTACCGCCTCTCTGAAGATCCAAAAGACAGAACCACTTAAATTCCCTTTAGCCTTGTAGTCCTTTTCTTTAGTGACTTTTCTGTTTGTAGTATTTGACATTGTCAATTGTTCTTCCCTCTTGAAACTTGTGTATCTCCCCTAAGCTTCCAGATTTTTCTTTCTAATCTTTGAAAACCTTGCCAGACTCCTCTGATGTTTTCTTTCTCTGCCAACCTTACATGTGTTGTGTGTGTAATCTTTCCCTCGGAGCAGCTGCATGTACTGAACACTGTATGATGTGAGGTGCCTTCCTCACACTGTCTGCTTAGATCCTTTGGCCATCCTATGAAGTAGGTTGCTTTGTTGATGTTATCTTAAGTCTGAGAAGGCTGAGGATTGGAGAAAAGGAACAACTCGCCTGAGATCTCAGTTGGTAAGGATTGGAGGAAGGATTTAATATATAAGTGTGCAGTCTGAATCCAGGGCTCAGACACTCAGCCATAATACTATTTTGCCCTCACAACGCAGGTCCCACACCGTTCAGAAACCATGAAGTCCGTTTGCATCCTATCCATGGGTGGCTCAGTGTCTATATTTATTTCCAATTCAGTGCATACAGAAACAGCTCCATTGTCTTCCTCCTAGCATGCATCTTTCCAGTGCCTCTCCATGCTGTTATTTTCCATCTCAGAGAACAGCACCTGATTTCTTGGGAGTCATCCCCTTCTTTGACTTTCCGTGTCTGATTGGTTTACCAAGCTGTATTAAATTTATCCCAAATCCATTCCTTTCAGTTCAGATTAGTATAGTGGCTAATGGCATTGATTTTGGAGTCAGATAGATTTGAATCTAAACCCAAGCATTTCCCCTTACTGGCATTTGGAGTTGGCAGGCTGAGCTATGGTGTGTAAAACAGACACCTGCATTTGATGAGCCTTCATTTGCTTATCTCTATAAGACAATTGGCTTGGTGACTGCCCCTTTAGCTCTTAATAGCATTTCACACCGGCATTGCCTGTGTGTGCTTTATGCCTTCTGTTTCAGCCTGCCTTACTGAGACAGCCGATTTCTTTCTTCATAGTCTTGCTCCTTTCCAAACACTCTGTGCCCTCAGCAAGTTTCATGTTTCTTTATTCAGCATTTCCTGGCTTATTGTAAGAGATGTTGTTAACAATAGCGAGGAAGAGATGTATAGCGTAAGACATTTTGGAAGGTCTCTGCTTTCCAAGCTTTCTAGGAACCATGACCAATGACCCAGGACCCTTCATGTGTTCAACTCTTCAGAAGCTGTCTGATCCCCGTTTTTCAATTTTTAAAAAAATAAAATAAAATTTATGTGTATGGGTGTTTTGCCTGGGTATGTGTCTGTGTACAATGTGCATGTAGTGAGTGCCACAGAGGCCAGAAGAAGGCATTGGATCCCCCAGAACTGGAGTTACAGACAATTGTGAGCCCCATGCGAGTGCTGGGAACTGAACTAGCATCCTGTGGAAGAGAAGCCAGTGCTCTTAACTGCAGAGCCATCTCTCCAGTCCCCCTTTGAGTTCTTTTGAAAATTTCATTGCATAGGTAAGATTGATTACATCAGCGGCCATTGATGAGCAGTTTAACCTTTGTAGTTGCTCTGCTGTGTCAGGCAGATGTTGCCTTATGGTCATGAATGGCCTCTGGCTTTTACATTTTTCTGCTCCCTCTTTCCCGCTGCTCCCTGAGCCTTGGGATAGGGGTTTATAGTTCCCTTTAGAGCTGAGTATTCTGTAATCTCTTATTCTTTGCTCCTTGGCCATTTGTGGGTCAGTTAATCACTATCTACTGCAAACAGAGGTTGTAGAAGAGGTAGAGAGAGGCATTGGTCAGATGCAGAGAGGGGCACAGGGATCCAGGCATGACGTGTTTTCCTTAGGTGGGTCCAGATTTGCTTTATTTATTTGTTCATTCATTTATTCATTCATCCCTGTGTTTGCCTACATGTATGTATACGTACCACCTGTGTTCCTGGTGTCTGTGAGGCCACAAGAGGGTGCCAGATTCCCTGGAACTAGAATTATAGATGTATGGGTGCTGGGAACCAAACCTGTGTCTTTGTAAGAACAGTAAGTGCTCTTAACCACTAAGCCATCTAGTGATGCTTTTTTTTTTTTTTTTTTTTTTTTTTTGAGACAGGGTTTCTCTGTGGCTTTGGAGGCTGTCCTGGAACTAGCTCTTGTAGACCAGGCTGGTCTCGAACTCACAGAGATCCGCCTGCCTCTACCTCCCGAGTGCTGGGATTAAAGGCATGCATTACTACCGCCTGGCTCTAGTGATGCTTCTTAATATTATATATGTTAATTTATATTTTGGGAAGAGAATAGTTGATATGCTAAAGGTACTTTCCATTGCAGTGCTTTCCATAGGAGCAAACTAAAGCTCAGCCAAGTGGCAACTTAGTAAACTCTAAAATCCAGATACTATCCTAGAATCAAATCATATGAATGTATCAGGAAGATGGGAGAGGCTGAGGCTGAGACTGAGGCTGGCAAGATGGCTCAGCAGATGAAAGCACTTGCTGTGCAAGCCTAAGGACTTCAGTTGAATTCCTAGAATCCACAGTGGAGAAGAACCAGCTGCCTCATGCTGTCCTCTGACCTCTACATGCAAGTGGTGGCATGTGGATGTCTGTACACAAACACACACACACACATACACACACACACACACACACACTTGCTTTCACACACTGTTGGTCAGAATTAGTCTTCCTCAGGTCTGTGTACTCCTCTCCTGTGTCTGCCATCAGCCAGCCATTCTGCACTTTCACACTTGTTGAAAGGGAAGGGCCTTGATGACTTCGTCTCTAACACTGCCTGGCTCTCGCCCTTTTGGCTTCTCACTTCTCTGCTCCTCAAAGGGAAAATGTCAGTGAAGAGAAAGTTTTAGGTCACACAGTTTATGACTGTGCTTGTGTCCCTGTAAGAGATGGCCCTTTATTGAATCCAGTTTCTGCCTTTTAAATTTTCTCTTCACTTTTAAGACTCATTGTCTGAGGGTGGGTATTTGAGCAAAAAGCCAATACATTTTGAAATAATAGTATTAAAAATCTTTAATAGGGAAGGGTGCCTGGCAAGCACAAGACTATGAGTTTGGTTCCCAGGCTACCCACACTGTCCAACCTCAGCAAGGGAGAGGAAGCCCATAGAGAGACTTTAACTGTTCCCACTACAGTTAAAGAGGAAAAAGAGCGAGGTGAAGTAATGTGTGTATTCATTAGCTCCAGTTAGTCATACCATAATAATGTTTACTTTTTAAAAACATTGTTATTTTGACATACATAGTTTGTCAATTAAAATAAATTTATTGGTGTATACGTATATGTGTACATATATGTGAATGTTTGTGTGTATATGCACGTGAATTTGTAGAGGCCAGAGGACAACTGTGGATGTCATTTCTCTGGCAACATCCACATTTAAAATTTGTTTTCCTGAGACAAGATCTCTCATCAGTCTGGAATTCACCAAGTAGGGTAAGCTGGCTGACTAGCCATTCCCAAGGTTCCACCTATCTCTGCCCTCAGACACTAGAACTACAGCATACCACCATTTCTGTTTCTCTCTCTCTCTCTCTCTCTCTCTCTCTCTCTCTCTCTCTCTCTCTCTCTCTCACACACACACACACACACACACATCTCTCTCTCACACACACACACACACATCTCTCTCTCTCTCTCTCTCTCTCTCTCACACACACACACACACACACACACACACACACACACACACACCTGGGAATTGAACTCAGGTCCTTCTGCTTGCAAGGCACTTTACTGACTTGCACTTTACTGACTGAGCCTACTGACTGAGCCATCGTCCAGCCCTAACTAGAACGTAGTTACAGACTCATTAACTAATTTCAGTTGTTTCTTGATGGTGACCCTTAGCCTATACTTACTATTCTCCAAGAGAAAATTCTTCATATCTTTGTGTTTCATTGTGTGGAGGAGATGATGGGCTTTGGATCGGCTTTCTTTTTCTCCTACGATTACCTTAGCATCCTCATGACTTTGAAACCAGCATGTTATTAAAACCGGTATGTTACTTGAGGCAGATGTTTGATAGCCTTTCTTGGAGCTGTCTTTCCTTGGCACACCAGTACTGTTTGACTTTGATAGCCCTGTGCCCAAACAGAATCAGGGGTGTAGAAAGCAGATTAAAAGGTGTGCTTAAAAAAAATTTAAGACTTAAAAAAGTTTTTGCATATCTAACTTGTGATTGTCTAAAGTTTGGACACTTTTAATTAGAGATCTTACATAGATTAGTACAATGGGGAAGGTGGGGTTTCGAGACACAAAGTTCTGTGTACACAAAAAGCTATGGCTCGGGATTCTGAAACGGAGTCCAGGAAGCTAGCTGATGGACAGATGGATTTCTTAGTTAATGTCCAGCTTCCATTACCTGTGCTTACCATTTCATCTTTTGCATGTATCCAGTAATGTAGCTGCTACTGTTGCCTTCTCTACTGTTGTGGAAACAAAGCCACACTACTCCAAAGCCTCCTGTCGGTGCCGCAGGGCTGGGAGAAGGAAGCCTGCTCCTTGGATAGACTGTCTAAATGTTGGGTTTAGAAAATAACTTTATAGTTGTCACATAAAATGTCTTAGGTATTATATTTTTGTTTTGCTTTATTTGTTATAAGGGGGAAAAGTTACCTGTTTCTTTCCTTTCTAGTCACGAAGAGGGGCCCGCTGCCAAAAAATGTAAGACAGAGAAAGAAGAAGGTCACATCAGTATCTCTAGCGTGGCTGAAGGGAATGTCACCAAGGTAAACAACTTTTCCAGTGTCTCTCTCTTTCCCAATGCAGCAAGTCCAAGGCTTGGGCTTGGTGAGTCTGCTGACATACCACTTTCTCTGGTCCTCTCTGAATATGAACCATATAGACCCACCCCATGTCCTTCTTTCTTCCTGGAAGTAATTAATACTAATAGTGAATGGCATATAGAACTACCTATCTGTTTATAGTAAATAGAACTCGGAATGAGATGTAGAACACAGAGTGCCTCAGTGGTAGCCCTCTTGTGCAGATTTTCTTACTGGCTTCCTTTTTCAGCTTTCCATTTAGTAAAGATGATGGCAGTAAGTAGGGGATGGTTAATGATCCGAGTCTTATTTCCCAAATACATAAAATTGAAGTATACCGTTTCTACCTTTTTCCTAATGTAAAACTTCAGCGGCTGGAGAGGTGTCTCTGATGGTTGACAGCACCTACATTCTGTTCCCAGCACCCATATGGGGTAGCTCACAGCCCCCTGTACCTCCAGCTCCAGGGAATCCAACACCTGGTCTTCACTGGTACCTGCACTCATGTGCACAAACCCACACACAGATATAAACATGTAATTCTAAAATAATAAAAATAAATCTAACAACCCCCCTCCCCCACAAAACCCTTCAAAATAGAATTTGCAAGGTTAGGACTGACCAAATCAAATTCCTTTTGATACTGAAAGCTTTATTTGATGAGAAGGTTTTTGGGACTTTGAGTGTATTGCCTTCATGTATGCAGAATTGCTTTGAATCAATAGATCTTAGCATTTCCCCAGTTAGCAAAATCAAACAGAAATGTGCCAGAAAAATCAAATGTCTGAGCAGTGGTTTGGACTTCGTGGGAATCTTTTGTGGTATTGAGAAGTCATGATTTCATTCTCTGAGCACACTATTCCAAGCAAAGAGGAAATAATAGATTTTCTTGTATCGTTTGCCAGCACTCTCAGGAATCCCTTTGTTTTCTCCTCTCAGAGCTGACTGCTACAGAGACCTTGTTAGGGTTGAGATTAATGCAAGTTAAAGACAGGTGTCATCAGAAAGTATTGTACAGTGTGTGAGAAAGAGTTGTGCTGCAATAATCTGTATCTATGATCTGATTTTTTAAAAGGATATGTTCAGTATGGGCGTGTTTATGTAGCCTGTCAAAACTTCAATGTCAAAGGGCCAGTAGTAGCTTTTCCTGGCCCCCATAGTTCAGTGAATCAAGCATTTGGTTGTTGTTTCTCATGTCATCTTAATGGGAAAGTTATTTAGCATGACCTCACATGACAACACCCTCCCTTTCCTAATTGATTATCAGAAGGTACAGGTGGTCTTTAGCACATAAAGCCTTCAATTTGGGCTGGCTGGTGGCATGGATTATAATACTTCTGGCCTCTCTGGAGATAAGTCACCTTGAATACAGAAAGTCAAGTGAAAATAGAGAGGGCAACTGTGTGGCTGCTTGAACTTTTTAGCTCCTTTTAAACATTGACTTTTTTGTATGTGTATATATTTGCATACACATACATGTGCACGTCACAGTGTACATGTAGAAATAAGACAACTTGCAGGAGTTGATTTTCTCTTTCTGTGATGTGGATCCTGGAGATTTAATTCAGAACATCAGGCTTGGCAGCAAAGTACCTTTACCTGATGAGCCATCTTGCCCAACCCTGAATCTTCCAGCTTTTAGCAGAATCCTGGAAATCATAATGATAGAAAGGTCTTGTTGTTGTTATTGTTTTGTTTTGTTTTTTATTTTTTATTTTTTTATGTTGTTGTTGTTTTTAAGAGCACACTTACTACATTAAACCATCTGTCTTGCCTTCGGTGTGATGGTTAGTTTTAACACTGACTTGACATAATCAAGACCCGTAGAAATTGAGTCACAGAGAAATTGTCTAGATGAGGTTGTCCTGTGGGCATGTCTGTGGGGAAATATCCTGCTTACACTAATCGAGGTGGGAAGGCCTGCACACTGCTGGTGGCACCATTCCCTAGGAAGGGGATTTCGAACTTCATAGACTGGAGAAAGCCGGCTGAGCACTACCACACGTGCATTCGTGGCTCTCTTTTCCCCGGTTTTGGATATGCTATGACCAGACTCCCTCAGGACCAGACTCCCTTGTGACTTCCCTGCTGTGACCGAATGTAACCTGGAACTGTGAGTAAACTTAACACTTTGTCCCAGAAGTTGTTCTTGTCAGGGTGTTTTTATAACAGCAACTGAAATGAAACTAAGATGTGGGATTTTGGCAGAAAAATGAGAAGTGACCTGCAGGAGTTTTGTCTCTGGTTCTGCCCTAGGTTGGAAGTGTGAATCCTGTTGAAAGCTTCCGTGTTCTAGTGAGGCAGAAGATTGCCAGCTTTGAGCAGGGTAAGTGGCATGCCACTCACTTGGTGTTGAAGAGACAGTGGTTAGTCTAGCTGATGTAAAGTCTGGATTAGCTGTGGTGCTCCCTTGCTGTGCTCTTACAACATTGTGAACACAGTGCGGTCTGGGGTTGGGGTGGTCAGCACAGCACAGACTTGCCCAAGCAATGATGAAACATGGTGCTGGGCTCCATATTGCAGAAGCTTTGGATCAGCACTCTGGAACCTTTATTTCCACCTTAAAGTTCTTTGGTGTCCTGTGAGTGAGATTGATCCCATCTTGTCTTCTGAGATACAATTCTTGCCCCAGGTCAGATCCATTGGCAGGAGCACCAAAGGCCAAGTTCACAATCATTTCCTGACAGAGATCAGCTTTGTGGTCATAATAATCTGTAGACAGAAGTTGTATGTTCTATATTTTCGATGGAGGAAGAGGCTTTTGTTCTGTTAAGTGTTACTATTTAGGAAAAGAGCCTTTGCATTATAAGACTTTCATCTAAGTTAGGCCTGGTGGCTCACACTTTAATCCCAGAACTCTGGAAGCAGAGGCAGGTGGATCTCTTAAATTGCAGGCCAGCCTGGTCTACAGAGTATAAGTTCCAGGACAGCCAGGGCTACATGGAGAAACCCTGTCTCAAAAAAACAAGCAGAACAACAAACAAACAAAATCAAAACCCTTTGTCTTAGTTAGGGTTTTTGTTGCTTACAGTTTCAGAGGTTCAGTCCATTATCAGTGTTCCAAGTAGCATGGTAACATGCAGGCAGATGTTGCTGAAAGCCCTACATCTTGTAGGCAATAGGAATTTGACTGAGACACTGGGCAGTATCCTGAGCATACAAAACCTCAAAGCCTGCTCCCATAGTGACACACTTCCTCCAATAAGGCCAAACCCCCTCCAACAAAGCCACCCCTCCTAATAGTGCCGGTCCCTATGAGATTATGGAGGCCAATTACATTCAACCTACCACACCCTTCATCTAGAAGGAAGTCTAGGATTCTAGATGACAGTTTTCAGGAGAAGTGGTGGAAGCAGGGTCTCAGAATTCATCTGTCACTGAGCATGGAATCCCAGTGCTTGGCAGGTTGAGGCAGGAAGATTAATAGACTGTTTTTTTGTTTGCTTGTTTGAAATTATTTCTTTCGTAAATTGACATCATCACTAGAGACTTTTTATAGTGACTTTGTGTTTAGAAAAGGGCAGATAAATCAAAGGACCCTGTTGTCAGTCATATATATAGCTTGTGTGTGTAGGGTGTGTGTGGGGGTGTTTGGTTTTTGAGACAGGGTCTCACTGTGTAATCCTCTCTGGCCTGTCTACTATGTAGACCAGGTTGGCCTCTAATTCATAGGGCTCTACCTGCCTCTGCTTCCTAAGTGTTGATATTAAAGAACTGTGCTAACATTCCTGGCATGTTTATTGTATCTTTAGAGAAGGATTGAGATCATAGCTAATTTAGTTGTTTGTTGTCAATTACTTTTGCCAGTCAGTGTCCAGTGTGCTCCTCTAGAAGTGATTGGTATTCCAGGTTCCCATAGGATGCTTTCTTCAGAGACTAAATGTAGCTATGATCACCACTATGTGGCACCTTTTAGTTACTTGGTATCTGCTGTGTAGAGATCATTGAGCATTGTGCTAGCAGGTTATTCTAGTGCTTCATTTACCCTGTATAGAAACCCTGCAAAGTCATGTTGAGGAAATGGAGAAAAGTTAGAACTTTAATTGTGAGTGTCTGAGAGGGTTGTTTTTATTCAGGATACACTTGGATGGGTGTTCAGGGCAGAGAGTCAATCCTTGTCCTAGGCTTGTCATCAGTTATTACTCAGGCTTGAGAAGAAGGGGAAATACAATGGCCACTTCGAAGATAGAAACCCCAGAGCTGGTTCAGGAGAGGAAGGGTGAGGAAAGATAAAAGGAACAGGAAAGTGAGTGAATTATTATGTTTTTCATCACAAGTCCCCAGGTGATAACCACAAAACCCAGATGGCCAATCTCTGGCCATGCTGGGTTGGCATTATACTGGGGGACACTTGTGAAAGGACAGTTTGGTGTCTGGAATTACTTCTATCTGGCAGAGGTCTTTTGGGAGTACAGGAGAGAGAACCTTCCTGAAAATTCACTCGAACTTAGGAAAACATGGTTCCCCTGAGCCACAGAATTAGGAACTTGAATCAGTCTTTTAAAAATAACAAGGCAAGGGCTGGAGAGATGGCTCAGAGGTTAAGAGCACTGACTGCTCTTCCAGAGGTCCTGAGTTCAATTCCCAGCAACCACATGGTGGCTTACAACCATCTGTTATGAGATCTGGTGCCCTCTTCTGGTGTGCAGATATACATGGAAGCAGAATGTTGTATACATAATAAATAAATAAATAAAATCTTAAAAAAATAACAAGGCAAATAGATCATGTGGCCTAGAGGTTATAAGAGGTGTGGTTATATCCATTTTGCTAATGTGAAACAATGTAAAATTGGAAGAGATGGGCTTCTCCAAAAATCACACAGGGATTTGAATATAACCCTCCTTCACATACTTTATTTTTCTATTTAGCAAATTGTTTCCCTGTTTCCTAACAACCTCTTTTCCCACATTTAACTATGAAAACTCTGTTTATTTATTTATTTATTTATTTATTTATTTATTTATTTATTGTGTGTGTGTGTGTGTGTGTAGGTCAGAAGATAATTTGTATCAGTTGGTTTTCTCCTCCCATGTGGAGAAGTCCTCTGTACTTCACATCGTGTTGGGTGAATCACAGCTCCCCACAGCTCTCACCAAGCTAAACTTGAGTAAGAGCTGCCAGCAAAGGAACCCAGCCTAACACTAGTGCTTTGTGGCTCTCGCTTGGCTTCTCTTTTGTTCCTCCCACTCTTGCTTTCCACTTCAGAAGTTTTGTCTGCACATTTCTTGTCTTGCTTTTGTTCTTCTGCTTGGGCATCTCTCTACCTAGGACACTTATGATCCCAAACTCATGCTTCTTGCCTGTCAAAGCACACTGTCCCAGAGTTTAAGCACCCTCCCAGGTAGTGATCAGCTTTATCCCTGCAGGAGGCCTCTGGCTGGGAAAGGGAGGAGGAAGTCCTTACCCTTTTTCTTGTCTTTTTTTTTTTTTTTTTTTTTTTTTTTTTTTTACAAAAATTGATTACACAAAAGTTTGACCAATAGTAGATTGTTGATAATATTGCTTAGGTAGAACTGACCGTATTACCCACTGGACTTAACTAAAATATGGGAGCACTTACTTTCTGACCTGCCTTGCACTATAGGTCCACCAAGTCCTTAGTAATGTCACCATCTCTTGAGATCATCAGTCCACAGCAGGCAGCTATACACTTCCTTATCTTCTTCTTCTTCTTTTTTTTTTTTTAAATTAGAAACAAGTTTCTTTTACATGTCAATTCCAGTTCCCTCACCCTCCCCTCCTCTCTTGCCCCCCCATCCCAACCTCTTTCTGCTCCCCAGGGAGGGTGAGGCCTTCAAAGTCTGTCATATCATTTGAAGCAGGGCCTAGACCTCCCCAGTGTGTCTAGGCTGAGAGAGTGTCCCTCCATGTGGAGAGGGCTCCCAAAGCCCATTCATATACTAGAGATAAATGTTGATCCACTATCAGAGGCCCCATAGATTGCTCAGGCCTCCAAACTGACATCCTCACTCAGGGGGTCTGGAACAGTCCTATGCTGGTTTCCCAGCTATCAGTCTGGGGTCCATGAGCAACCCTATGTTCAGGTCAGCTGTCCCTGTGGGTTTCTCCAAACTGGTTCTGACCCCTTTGCTCATCACTCCTCCCTCTCTGCAACTGGATTCCAGAGTTCAGCTCAGTGTTTAGCTGTGGGTGTATGCCTCTGTTTCCATCAGCTACTGGATGAAGGCTCTAAGATGGCATATAAGGTAGTCATTAATCTCATTATCGGAAAAGGGCATTTAAGGTAGCCTCTCCACTATTGTTTAGATTGTTAGTTGGTACCATCCTTAGATCTCTGGACATTTCCCTAGTGCCAGAATTCTCTTTAAACCTATAATGGCATATAAGGTAGTCATTAATCTCATTATCGGAAAAGGGCATTTAAGGTAGCCTCTCCACTATTGTTTAGATTGTTAGTTGGTACCATCCTTAGATCTCTGGACATTTCCCTAGTGCCAGAATTCTCTTTAAACCTATAATGGCTCTCTCTATTGTGGTATCTCTTTTCTTGCTCTCCTCAATTCTTCCCCTGACTAAATCTTCCTGCTGTCTCATGTCCTCCTCTCCCCTCCTGTTCTCCCCCTCTCTTTCTTCTGGTTCCCTCTCCCCTCCCCCCATGCTCCCAATTAGCTCAGGAGATCTTGTCCCTTTCTGCATATCTCTCTTAGGGTTCTCCTTGTTTCCTAGCTTCTCTGGCGGTGTGGATTGTAGGCTGGTACTCCTTTGCTCTATGTCTAAAATCCATATATGAGTGAGTACATCCATGTTTGTCTTTTTGTGACTGGGTTACCTCACTCAGGATGGTTTATTCTAGTTCCATCCATTTGCCTGAGAAATTCAAGATTCCATTGTTTTTTTCTGCTGAGAAGTACTTCATGGTATAAATATACCACATTTTCTCTATCCATTCTTCAGTTGAGGGGCATCTAGGTTGCTTCCAGGTTTTGCTATTACAAATAATGCTGCTATGAACATGGTTGAACAGATGTCCTTGTTGTATGAATGTGCGTCTTTTGGGTATGTACTTAAGAGTGGAATAGCTGGATCTTGTGGTAGACTGGTTCCCATTTTCCTGAGGAACCACCATACTGATTTCCAAAGTGGCTGTACAAGTTCGCACTCCCACCAGCAGTGGAGGAGTGTTCCCCTTTCTCCACATCCTCTCCAGCATAAGCTGTCATTGGTGTTTTTGATTTTAGCCATTCTGACAGGAGTAAGGTGATGTCTCAGAGTTGTTTTGATTTGCATTTCCCTGATGGCTAACTTCCTTATCTTCTCACTTTCAGTGTGAGGGGATGATAACCCTTGTTCTAATCATATTGG